AATGCCCAAAAAAAGATTGATAACATTGATTTTTAGTCATTCATGAAATAATCAGGTGAGAAGGATTTAGAATACTGCTCCAAACAGGGAGTTAAAAAAAGCAAGCAAGCAGCATGATCGAGTTTGACACACCAGTCAGAATCCTCCGTTTCCCACTACTTGGTCCACCATTAGTTGGCACATCAGTCGAGTCAACGAAGCAGCGATTCTATTTACTTTTTCTACTGTGCACTTCATATGCTCGGCCATCTTAGAATTTTTGTCTAGCCAGACGCCCAGGTATTTAATTGATTGTGAATTTCAGTATTCGCGACATTTACTGGCAGAGAAGTCATTTTTTGCCTACCAGAGAGGATTACCACCTCAGTTTTTTCAAGAGCTAGTATTAGGCCATTTTCCTCCATCCATATCTTCTTAGTTATTCCATGTACCAGCAGACTTGTTAATACCATTGCCAAGTCGTTGGCATACCCTATCAAGTGAATTCCTGGCATCATCTTTAGACTTAAAACCGTATCATACAACACGTTCCACAGTAAGAGCGACATTTTACTAAGTAATATTTAGCTCAGTGTCTGTTTTCACGAGCTGAATCTAGGAATGGTTTTTGGAATATTCGTTACGAACTAACTATAGAATTGCGATAGAAGCGCTTCAAATGGCTTTTTACTTCAAGCAAATTATGCCAAATACATCATATTTTTGTCAAAATTAAAGGACGCAAATGATCATATGGAAGAACAAGATAAAAATGGAGTGACCCATCCTGAAATGCAACAGATTATTTCTTAAGGTTTTTCTAAAACTCGTGGTCAAGGATGCTCAAAGATCGTTTTTCACACGCTTATTTTTCAAACTGAGCTTTTTACAAAGAAATGTTTTAATGAAAGCTGTGTCGTTTTTTATTAACGACCTACGGAGACCAAGCCGACTTAAATCAATGAATTAATAAAGAAAAGTTATTACAAAAAAAACTAAAGATGGTTGGTTTTCACGTCAAAAGATTTGTCAAGGGGGACAACTTGTTAACCAAAAACTACTTCACGCTCTGCCCCCAGGGTCATGCCTCTAAAAATTTCAAATGACAAGGGGTATCGAGTAATAGCTTGTTAGAAAGGTCTTTCGAAGTCCTTTATTTTGACGTTTGATTTTTTAAAATCGGTCGATTCGTTTTCAAGAAAATTTGAAAAATCTTTATTTATCTTAATTTGTTCAGATAGAAAACAAAAACACAGGAAAATATCACTTTTTATTTCAATAAGTGTTCAAAATGTTGCCTGTTATTGACCAAACAATGATATATCGCCTATAGGCGATGTTCAAATTCCTGACAGACATTTTAAAAAACATGTTGTGGGATATCATGGCAGCTTTCGATAATGCATTGGCGATGTTCATCCAAACCCTCAGGTTGAGGAGTAAACACAATACATTTCAAATGGCCCCATAGAAACAAGTCTAATGGCGCCAAATCAGGATATCTAGCAGGCCATTCTATAGGCCCTCTTCGCCCTATCCATTTATTTGAAATCTCGTCTTCTTGCCATTGCAGAACCGAAGGAACATAGTGAGGAGAAGCGCCGTCTTGCTGGAAATATATTTCAGCCTCATCAAGTAAAGGGTTTCCATCCTCTTCGGTTTGATTTTCAATGGTTTCAGTGATAAGCGGATTGATGGTATTTTCCAACATATCCAAATAAATGTCTCCATTCAAATTTCCATTAATAAACAATGTCCCAATCACGTTTTCTAAAATCCCTGTCCATACATTAATTTTTGGGGGTACTGGGTATGCCCTTCTACAAAAGCATGAGGGTTTGCATTGCTCCAATACCTGCATTTAGATAAAATGTACATTCATCACTGAAGCAGATATTCATTACAATGGTATTATCATTAATCGCTGCAGTCATTTGTGCAGTCGCAGCAACAATTTTGCGTAATGAAGTATTAAGATGTATCCCAAAATGACCCAAAACTTCAACTTGAGCGGCTTCATCCAAAACTCTCCGATGATCACGTTTTTCATTTGTAACAGATCCAGTTTGAGTAAATTTAGTAACAAGGTCCAAAGCATACCTATGCGAAGTTATCTTCCCCGGATTTCTAGCGTTGAACGTGACGGTAGTTTGCCGAGCACATTAATTTTGGGCACCTAAAATTAGAATCATTTCCAATCTTTCGGTCATTTTGGAAGTAAAATCTGAATCAAATTAATTTTAACTATCCCAAGATTGTCACAAAGGTAACTGACAGCACATTAAATTCTTTATTTGCCTTAGCAACAAATAACTAAACAGGTATAACAATAAATACAGTTCGCACAGGATATCTGTGTTGATGAAATCTTCCGAATTGCTGTTTAACAAAAGATGATAGACACGTCCGCTTTGTTTTAAGATGTGTATGTTTTTCGAATATCGTAGCGCATGTGTTCAATTACTCACAAATACGAAATGTTTAGAAGAAAAAACGTAACCTTTGTTTTTCGCACAAAAATAACATTTATCTTTCGGAATGGTTTATGATTCATATCGGCAAGGTAAACACCTGTATTTTGCTATTAAATTCTCTTTGAACGAACCCTGTATATTGCTCAATGAACTAGTAGTGATGGCCGGAAAACAGGTGTTTTGGGATAAACAATTATAAATTCTCAAAAAACTACTTGATCAATATAATCCTTATTTGATGTTGTTATTTAGAAGTATGAATCCTTCGGATTTGACGAATTTCAAGCAGTTGCGTGAAATTAGTGTCACATTACCAACCAGTGCCAAAACCTGCATTTTGCATCGTTTTTCGGAAATAACATTTTTGCTATTAGTCGAATATTTTCACGTGAGATCTACAAAATGTTTTTTCGTTCCTGTTAACACTTTTGATTGAATCCCAAAAAACTCGGTTTCTCATTCTTTGTTGTCAAATAAAATTTTTTCGCACAAAGCCTTAACCAATTTATCCCACAAAAATTAGTGTACCCATTTTATGCGTCCGTGTTTTAAATACCCCCTTGAACAACTTGCATCAATAAAATCAGACTTTACAATTATTTCGGGGAAATTTGCTAATATGATTGGACTATAATGAGTTGTGTTATAGCATGCTATGGTCACATATGTGGGAAACACGGTTTTTGGTCCGTTTGACCACTATATTTAGAAAAACCGCAAGTGATAAACTGTTGCATTTTAATGCATTTGAATCGGCCTATTTTTCGTGAAGAGGAAATTCTGCCACCTATGAGTAGTTCGCCAAACGCGGTACTATACCGATTCCTACATCGGTGGCAGGAAACTGCATCTCTGAATGACAATCTGCACGGGTATCACGTATCTTGAAAAGTGGCATTATGCCGTTTTTTGACATTATGTAGGTTTTTCTACAAGATATTAACTTAGCACTTAGTTGTACAGGTTGCCTAAACGTCATGGCTTGTTATCAATCTCTGGCTCTGACGTGATGTAAAATCTGCTTCAGAGATGGCATTAATGGAGGTCTAAGCTGTAAAGTTGTATGTGTTGATGATAATTACATTGGGTTCTTGTCTCAAATACACTTAAAGGAGATTCAAAGCTAGAAATTAGTTGCGCATCCACTTTTTCTTATCCATTCTAGAAATTACATATGCAAATTTGCTGAATTTCAAAAATGAGAAAGGTAAGAAATAATTATATTCACTGTACACTGCCGAATTACAAGCCATATACATGCTAACAGTAATTACACACAGCCCGGGCGCGGTGATGATTTCCCATAATTCTCCTCAGTTTTTCGTAATTTATAATTTTAAACATAACCTCTCTTCAGAAAGCACAACATAAAAATAACCCGTCGGGCACAGCCAATAGATATACTTCATTGGCAGCATATTCAGTAATGATTTACTCACACAGCAAATATCACTGATTTTATACACATAATCATCCAGATGCGATCTTGCTATTCAACCAACATTCTTCTCAGAGATAAAAAGTACAGAGAAGGACCATTTGGCCTCACAAAACATATGCAACCAATAATGCGTAAAGTTTAGTTGAGTGATTCCTCCTTAGATGGACGTTCACAACGATCCTAGTGAGCAAACGTGGAATGACTGTTTGCGCCCTAAAAACTATCTAGTTTGCAAGATGATATCTTACAGGTTTTTTTTGACGTTTTATAGGTTTTTTACATGATACCCATGCCGGTTCAATGAAATGGAGCAAGGAATCTGGAAGATAACTAGCGCCATCTATGGGACCCAGAGGTTCAGAACAGAAATATTAAATTCTGATACTTTCTCATAGATGGCGCTATGATCTTATGTATAAAAAAGGTTTTGGTCTCTCTGATGCCTATTTTAATCAATGCCTAAGATGCCCATTTAAAACAGGGATTATAACAGCGCCAAAAAGGAATTGACATAAGCTAACTATTAAAGTCAATTTCTATATTCTTTTTTGTGTTCTGCTACTATCTAATAGATGGCTTAGTATCTTTCAGACCCCTTTTTGATCATTTTACGGTTGGCTATATTCAGTTAATTAAACAAACAGATTTTATTCAGCCTGTGTTTGTTATATGCAACTTTTCCATATTTCGTCAAATCTGGGTACAAAAGGTCTGTTCGTACAATTGTCGCCAACCTGTCAGTGATCCTGACCAAGATCCCGCCACACAAATTCCGTTTATTCTGTTACGCTATATAGACAGAATTTACAAGGCCGAATCTCAGACACTGTCACCGACCATTGTACGAACAAACCGTAGTGCTGCCGTGAGCGACAAAACGCCTATGTGGTGAGCTACACTATACCGTGCTGGTAATTGCTAAAAAGCATGAAACAACGTTGGTTGGCTAAGCCGACAGGAACGAAGTGCAAACAAATCCTATTCAGTCGCCGTATTTTTATCTAATTTTCCGTCCGTCCTTTAATTGTGGCACCTAAAAGATTAATCTTGAAGTAATTGTGTACTGTCAGAAACTCTATGGCTGAGTGGTCAATCGCATGTTTTAGGAGTGTAAACTTAAACTACAACCTCCATCATCCACGAATCTTCCTGCTTACAACCCATTTTTACCTCCAAGTGCTATAACCCAAATAATGATCATTGCTAATCCTGACTCGACGAAGCTGACATTGAAATTTGTGATCAGCTATGTGATGGATGATGAAACTATCACGGAAATGGGCGAAGTTGATGAACTACCTACTCTTCAAGAATAAACTTCAAAACACAGGTTTATCATCTGCTCAGCGAAAGAATGCAAGGAAGGAAACGGTGAGAACTACCAGAGAAACCGGTAGATGTTACGGTGTTAACCATTCCAGATCTTTTATCCCAAAGTGTTACAACACCAGACAGTTTCAGTATGTTCATAATTTTCGAACACTTCATGAGTAAAATAAAAAGTATGCAGTATTTGTATGAGTATACAGTCACCGTGTTTAGTATGTGCTCCGTCGATAACTCCGTTCTTACACGTGGTACCTAAAAAAGTCTATTAGAAAAATTATAGCAAACAGTATGCTCCTGACTTGGAAAATATTTTTTTATATGATGTGATATAACGTATTTTATTTACTAATTGTTGAGATATATCGGAAAAGACACGCAACTTGACAACTCGCTCCTCCACAGTTGGTATGGCTAGAGTACTGAATTTTCCGTCTCAAAAAATTTATTATCCCATATTTTTTCCTTATCCACATATTTTTTCTTTTTTAATAATTTATACAAGGTGGTCAAGAACGCAAAATGATTCCCATTTTCACATATGCTTTCTTTTGATAACGGTTTATGGTGGTTTATAAGACTGGTTTTTGAATTACAGCTAACCCTTTTGTAAATCGAATATCCTGAATGAAAAATATTATGCCTTTCAAAATGGAAAATAGCATTTAATTGGTAGCAGCAGATCGATAGGATTTGTGTATTTTTATTATAAATAAAATATGTATGTCTAACGTTGTGCAATAAAGCCGAATAGTGAAAAGCGTGTTCCTGTATTTTCAGTGTGTAACTGGTTCATAACTCCCTTATAACACATGCTATCTGAAAAAATGGCGTCAAGTCCTACGCAACGCTGTCGTCACGTCATAAAGTTCGGCACAAATTGGCACCTCTCAGAAAAAAAGCTACGAATATGTATAACAAAAAATTAAATGGATCAAGTTGAGTCAAACAGGTTCATACAATTAAAATTTGAATTTTCAGCTAGCTTTTCGTTGCAATACAAGAAAAGATGCTACCCCCCGCTCTTGAAAAAGTTTTGGAGGCAGGTACGCTTTCACGCAAAGGTTATCTCTTGCCGATGGATGGTCCTTCCCCTTTCCTTGAGGAAAATTCTGGGCTCACATGATCGAAACTATGTGTATATCTAGCGTGGATGACGATTGACGGTGACGATGTGGATCCAGTCGAGCAGCGGAGACAGACTGCTACGCAAATGCATCGCCAGGACTGCGAAGGGTATGATCGATATGTTTAAAAGATGTGTAGAATTATCGCGGCTGGAGGCATGTCAAATATTCCAACCTCAAAAAATTGAGAAATGCCCTCCCCACCCCCACAACCCAAGACGGTCCAATTTTTCGCCCAAAAATGATCGACAACTTCTGAAATGTCAGAAAAAAACGAAGTTTGGTTTTTATTATTTTACTTTTTTGTCCCTAGCTCCGGCACGTCGATCGATGTTCAAAAACTGTACAGCGTTCTGGTCCTCGGAATAGCAATAACCTTGTGTCAAAATTTCTTCAAAATCCGACCAGTACTTTTCAAGTTATAGCGGGGCCAAGGATTAGCGGATAGACAGATCGACGGAAATGATTGACAGGGTTTTTCATGATGTCATATAACATCCAAAAAACAATATCACATTTTCGTAATTTTTCGCCAGTTGCGTAGGAAGTATAGTGTAAGTTTATCCACCATATGATTAGGATTTGAAAAATCAAACGATCTATTGTCACTAATTGGTATTTTTTCCATTTACCTTTATATACGATTTACAAAAGGTTAGCCGAAACTCAAAGACACGTCGTATAACTCGAAAAGGGGGATCACAAAACGTGTATATATATATACAGATTTTTTTATTTAAACATGTTTAATAGTAGTTTATCTTGCGCCCTTGACCACCCTGTATGGACTTAAAAAACTGAAAAAAGTAACTGATGGATAAGGAGAAGAGAGACGTCATAATTTTTATCTGGCAAAAATCAGTACTTTAGCTATAACAATTGTGGAGGTACAAGTTGTCAAAGATGAAAATTTTATTCGATAGATTATCGAATATCTCTCAATTAGAAAATAAATTCCTATTCGCTGGGTCCGCGATACAGCGGATGTGAAATAAAATGCATGGCTGACCATTTGAAAAAATTCATGTTTGGCTTAGCATGTGGTTATGAATCGCCATGAAGAGATAAGAATAAGTCTAGAGCATAAGTTTAGCAACAATTTTTATGGTTAACTTCTTTAGGGAATATCATGGGTGATAACCGAGTTATCGACCGAACACACACAAAAAACTTGCGTAGAGATACTTTCGGTGCTTTGACTAATATTGTCAAAGAATATATTCCAGTTTACAGCTCAAGAACGTTATTCAATGCACAATGACTGACATTCATTATGTCCACCCGCATTCCTTTGTCCTGCATCCTCTCACTGGACAGATAATTAATAGCATTCTTGTACATTTACAGCAGACTATCCCAGAACTGTTCTAATTCTGGATTAGGTTTCTGTAGATTCATAAACTATGTGTTACTTTTTAAGTGTATCGGTAGCCTCATTTTCATTTTGAAACAATTGTTTGCATGGTTTTTACATACATTACATTAAAATACGTTTTTATTGGTCAAAAATCGAGTTAGATTATTTCCGTCCATTTTGTTCGCATCAGACATCACAATTTTGCGACCGTTTTATCTGATAAAACTCTCTAGAGTGGACAATTTTCAATGCTAAATTTGTTTAGACTAATGGCATAGCACTAGTACAGAAAATCTGTCACTCTTAATGTGAAATATACAAATCCAAATTTAAAAATGTGTGAATAAGCAGTGGGTAATAAGGTTTCTGCCATGATAGTGGCAATGGTCGTTTAATAATAATACTCTAAAATATTCCGAGGAACAAAAAAATGTTCATTATTTTGATTATGTTATATCTTTCTAGACACGGCATATCGTCGGCTTACTTTCAATACCTCCTAAGTCACTTTGGGCTAATTTTACAGGAAGGACAAAAAACGTGTCTGAAATGACTTACACAATTTTTGTGAAGTGATATTTTGTTAAATATTAATTGTCGATAACTTTGACTTGTTAATGCTGATTTTCACTGAAAATCACTTTAACGTAGCTTTTAATGAAACAAGAAAAACGAGAAATGTTTCATACTTACTAGGTTTTATTTATTCTGAATTCTGCCTACATTTAAATAATAATAAACTGAGCACTAAACAAGGTAGAGCAATGGAGTCAAATAAGACCAAATAAAACACAGCTTGTCAAGGAGATAACTTAAAAACTAATCGGCTTCAAATGGCAGGGTGTCATAAAAGAGATGATAGTCTGGAGGTATGATTGCCTTCAAGTCTTGCAAGTGGTCGTATTTACTTTTCTTAATTGGCAATGGATTTTGATAAAGCGGAACGATCTCTCCAGCCCCTTGACTCTTCCTGCTTGATCTCTTATCCAGCAACATCCAATCATCGTCAAAACTCAATTTATAGTGTAGCGTTCCGTCAGGTCTGTATTGAATAGCGCACAAATCATTAACCGTAGGATCCCCTGTTTTATAGCCAGGGCGAATGGAAGTGTGGTACTTGAGTGCAGAAAAGTTTTTAAAATACCTATGACTCAAATACTTAACTTCATAGGGCTTAGGATTCAATCTAGCTGATTTGGAGGCAGCAATATAGCCAGCAGGAGAATAGATTTCTATATTACGAGTTTTTCGTTCAATTGTGGAGTGCATGCTGTCGCACTCCATCTGGGTGTGGCCACTTACCAAGTACTTTTGAGTAATAATCATTCCTTTATTTACTGATAAATGCAAAAGTGCGTACATCCGTCACTGTGTAAAATAATTTCATCACCTTCTGACAAGTTTAACTCTTCAATAAAATTGTACAGAATTGTTGCAAATTCATTTGAGGTTACTTTTCCTTCAGCTTCGTGCCAGAGCAAGCAATTTGCATCGTTTGTTATTAAGTTATAGATGGTAAAGTTATGTACCACTAATTTCTTTTTGTAATACATTTTTGAAGCTTTAAGTATCGGACTAAGAAGTACTGATTGGAGATCCACTGTAAAGACGTGTCGCACAGCGACTTTATCTGATGATTTTTCATCGCGTGCCAAATTTTTCTTGGCAATGTGCTGATTGTATAACTGCTCATCGATATTTCCAGCTTTGTATGAGACACAAAGGTCACATTGATCTTTTTTCGGAGAAAACAAGCTCAAATTATTCAAAGCAAACTCCTCATGAAATGTCTTTATAGAGAGAGATTTAGAGTCCTTCTCTTACAGTACTCCAGATAACATCTATATAATGCAGCTTTACTTTGCCAAATGGGTTCCAAGTATTGCTTACTGGACGAAGCTCTATAGTAGTGAGACTCCATTTTCGGTAATACCGTGAAAAAGTTCTTTAATGCAATTCTCTCCGTTTCATGTCTAGAGTTAACTCTATTTATCTCAGGCAGTTTGGCATTTTCGGTATAAGGAGAATCAATGTTATTACCCTTACCTATAGCTGCCCAGTTATGCATGGACCAAGTTCCCAGGCCTAAGGTATTCTAAACATGACCTGGCATACTCTTTGGCGAACACCATTTTTCTTCAAATGAAACTTGAACGTATTAGAACGTCTTGAAGTTTCATTAATTTTATTTTTTAAATCTTTTGGAGCCATACTGTCGACAAGGCTGGAAACGTAAACTTTCCGTTGAGGCCAAGTCATACTTCGCCAAAATGTATTGAAATGTGTTGCCTATCCTGCTCTGTGAAATTTCGGCAATGTATGTTCTTGGACTTTTCGGACATCTTGCAGTTACAGAAACTTTTCATTTGACGCGGTGGTTTCTCTACATCAAACGTCTATTTTCCATCCGCGGTTTTTCTTAGCCCATCATATGCTTCACCCTTTTCACGTTTAAGCTTACACTCTTGTCTTTTCCAACTTAGAGCATCAGGTTTCCGTTTCCTGTTTCTTTTGATCTCAACGTGGTGCTCTTCAATACTTCCCATTAAAGACTCATCGTTTTCTGGAATATTTGCTTTACCCAAAATGTTCCGTTCGTGAGATAAAGTTCCGTTGAGACATTCGTTTTCGAAATCTTCGTATTCGCTTTCATTTGGTAGGTACCGGTGAAATGGGGTGAATAGAAACAGTTTCGGACCTTTCCTACTCTGTTGCTAACATGGTAGTCACCTTTTTGACAACAAAAAATAAGGAATTTACAGGTCTCGACTTGTAGATCAAAAAGCGCATAATAGATTTTTTTTAAATAGGGGGTTTTCCAAATAAAAAATAAAAACGCTCTTTTTCTATTCACCCTTAATGTGGGGTGAATAGAAACACCCATTTAAATTGGTCAAATTTGCTATTCTACCCACACGAAGGCGAATAGAAAAACCTGAAAAAAATTTTAAATTGATAAAAAAATATAAATACACAAAAAAAACTGACAAAAACACCAATTTTACAAAAAAAAAACATTTATTTCTATAGAAATGTAACAAGTTTAAACATATTATTTAAATTAAACAACTTTGATGCAAATTAAATTTTAAAATGTCTCTTCTTGACGTAGATGCTTCTATCTCGTCATGAACTGGGAAAACCTCTCCAACAACCTGGCTAAAATGAAAGGTGGAAACATCCGGAACTTCTGGAAATCCATAAATATATCCTGACGAGTGTTTGGTGGGGCGACTTCTTAAGAAAGTGGCTTCAATGTCATTTTCTGTAATATTAATGACATGTCCGATAAAATATTTATTTCTTTGTCTATTTCGATATTTTGTTGGAAAACACACCAGAAGCCAAGTTCCTTTATCTATTAAATCAAGCGAAATAGGAGAAACACATCGAAACAATTTACCCTCAAAGCAGACTGATGCTGATGAATTATTTGTATCCAACTTATTCTCGGACTTATCGGTGAAACTTGGTAGTGAAGTGTCCATTTCTGAGTCTGCATCTGAAGAATGATCTTGATCTTTTTCCATGTCAGAGTCTTCACTTGAAGAATGATCTTGAGCTTTTGCCATTATTGGCATGAAATTAATAAGGGGCAAATTCATTTCCGGGTCTGAATCTTCATCTAAGGTTTCCATACTTCTTTCCAAATCAGTATCCTCTTGATCGTCTTTATCCAACGTGCTTTCAAAATCTGCACTTGTAACGCTTTTGCCAGCAGGAACTTGAATTTTACGACGTCGACTCTTCACATTTTGACCATCGCCATATCTCATTGTTCTTAGAAGGTTTACCAAAGAGTTATTAAGTCCTTCTTCAATGTTCTGATTCTCATCATTTGTCTCGTCAAGATTTTGCTGCGGAAGGCGTCCCAAGACTTGATCCCTATTTAGTGGAAAAAATCCACACTTTCTAAAGCCAGATTGTATATTTTTTCCAGCATTAGGCTCAATAGCCTTTGACAAGTCATTTAGCAAGAAAGGGAATCTGTCCTTTGGAACCGTGCAATGCTTTGAACCAGCCCCCATTTTCCATTTTTCAAGGATCTGTCGCCAGGCTGTTTTAAGAGGCCGGAAAAATGCCACGTCCAGAGGCTGGGTCAGATGAGTAGAGTTAGCCGGGAGGAATATAAATGAAATATTATTTTCTTCGCAAAGAGATACCGTACTTGCAGAAAAATGTGAACTCAGATTATCGCCAATTAAGTACTTCTTTCCCGGTAGATTTTTTACTACAGGTATGACAGTGCTCTCTACCCAATCTGAGAAGGAAATCGCATCAAACCAACCTGATGGACTTCTATTAAATCTGACGTCCTTTGGTCCTCCAACTGTCCAAGATGTATACAAATTTTTAGCTTTGTAAACCACGTATGGTGGGAAAAATTTTCCATCAGCTGAAGCAGCGTACATAATAGAAACGGCTGACTTCGACGTATGGCAAATACGTTCTGGATAGCGACAGCCCCTTTTCGAGATTACTTTCTTTCTACCCGGATCGTCAGTTAAATTTGTTTCGTCGTAATTTACTATGTTTGATGGCGGTACATTTTTCAACTCCGTGGCTAAATTGTCAAAATAAGCATTGATAGTATTGGGAGAAACAGCAGCTCTTGAGCGCTTGATGTTTTGGCAGATTCTAGATCTTAATTCATTTTTGTGACGTTTTAAAAAAGAATAGACAAAGTCTCTGCCAGGGATATTATCTTTAAATCTCGTTATTGTTTTACCTCTACTGTCTAGGTAAATCATCATCCTGACGTCCAAATGGTCAAGTGGATACCCCCAATCGGAACAAACTATTAGTTGATGGACTAAAATATCTTCTTCTTGTTTGGTTAGGGCTGTTTGTCCTCCATGAAGCTTCAGATTTCGGTTTTTGTGGTGCCGATAAAGCACAGAATAATGAATGTTGTATGTTTCGTGAGCCACTCTATAACTCATCCCGTTGTCAATTGAAGCAAGGGCTATTTTTAGAGTTTTTTCATCAATTTTCTTATATGTTTTACCTCGAGGGTCTGGTTTATAAACGCGAGGCATTTTCCTGCAAAAGAAAAAACAGTTATGGGGTGGATAGAAACAGCGGGTGAATAGAAACAGCGTGTTTCTATTCACCCCAAAATTACTTAAAAGTGTGGTTATGTATTATATTACATCATAGCAAAAAAAATAAGCAAGACAAGCAATTTTTGAAATAGGCAATGTGAACCAGACACCTTAAAGCTACTTTAACCAAAAACTCAATGTCTTACCTGTTTTTAGCTAACCACTGTGAATAAAGTTTTGCTAGTGATGAAAAAGGCTCATGTGTTCACTCCGACGGGTGGTTGCTACTGCAATCAGGGCTGCCAGCATAAAACATCTTTGGCCTGTTAAAGCAGTTATGGTTATGACCGTTTGAGAACAAATTTGAAGCGTTGGGAGGTTTAATTCCAATGTTGATTTTTTTTAAAAGAAGTTTCCCGTTTTTGTTGCTATTCACCCAGCAGTTTCTATTCACCCCATTTCACGGTAGTTTGAGTCAATATTACGTAGCAGTTTGTTATCCAAAGGAGTGCCTACACTTTCAAGCTCAGCAGTATCTTCATATTGCTTCATACCATCTTGGATGATACTCGTTTCGTCAACTGTTATGTCAGCATTGAGAAATGCAATGTCTGTAGTACCTACGACCAATCCACATTAATAACATTACTAGATTATAGTTCAGTATAAACTTACCACTGACATCGTTTAATAGCAATAATTCCTCATTTTGTTCCCCACAGTCATCAGTTAAAACTTTAATAGCTTCTTCTATTTCCGTATGAAGTTCATCATTTTGATCTACATAGTCAGCTGTATCACCCGTTTCATTCAAATTTGAAGCTAGAGCTACCATAAGCTGACCTCTGGTCAGGCGCCGATTCATCGTGAAAGGGAAAAGCTACAGTAATAGTACAATGCTGATTTAATTTGTTCCTCCTGTAATTTGAAATTCAATATAATTTCTTCCACCGCCACACAACAGTCTTTCAAGATTTCAAAGAAAACATAGATTTATAGATTTGTTCGATAAGTTAGCTCATACTAAATGGAAGGCGAATTATGTTAATCAAAACCGTGTATGTACGATTCTCAATGCTATTTATAATGAACGAGAGTGAATCAAAACCTCTTAAGTCGTTTCTGTGCAATTGATAGAGTTTTATCAAATAAAATACTACTGGTCAACATTATACAGCTAATAGTGATGAATTACTTACTATTTTCGAACGAATCCAGGCGCTATTGCACCATTTAATCGTATTTTATGCACTGATATAACCTAAAAACCAGGAACGCACATGCGAAAACGGTGGCTGCATTAAATGTCGACTTAGAAGCTTTTGCGTAATGTTTCGGAGTCTACCGATATAGAAGGTTTAATCGGCTAATAGATGGCGATATAATAATCATATAGATAGGAGCTTTTGTACGCTGTTGAGTTACAATTTTTAAAAGCCAACTGTGCCAAAACCTCAGAAGTGGTGAAAATCCGACTTAGGAGGTTTTGAAAGTAAGCCGACGATATGTTGCGTTATCAACTTATTACGTTAATGGAAAGTGAAATTTATGAAACGATTTATTTCTGAAATTATCGTGATACTGCAATACCGCACTGTGACGTGTACCTTAATTTGATAATCATGCTTTGAAATTAACATTGGCATTTCTCATGTTTAGTATACAGCTATCTGGTATTGGTTTAAATAACACATTTCTCGAGTGGCCTTTTTGTATCAATCCTTCATATCCTCCTTGATGGTCATACCAGAGTGTCTCGCACTCGTCAGGTCTATTTTTATTTGATTTGCCTTACCTATTAATGTGGTAGGCGGATTGTGATGAGAAGCCAATGAAATAAGACATTCCTAAAAAACTTGTGTGTATATCTGTATAGGTTGGGAGTACCAAACAAATCATCAATAAACTCAAAAATCATTTTTGTGGATGCAGATTGCCAATGGATATTCCAAGACTTGAAATCCAGAGATGAAATAATAGATATAAAGTCTTCTTTACCTCTATCGGTAGACAGACTATAAATTCTTTTAGCAAGATCAGATTCATCCAGAGTCGTTGATTGTCGAGGGTAGTACTTGAACATAGTTGAGGCTAAATTCCCTTCTGTGACGCAGAAATAAAGTCTCATTTCCAAAACCATCATAGCAAATACTAGTCTAGGAGCGATTTTGAGTTCTCTTTCTTTTGCATGGACCAAGATTATTTTCCATGACTCAGGCACTTTTCTCATCATTATGGTATCACAGATGTCTTTCACATCAAGTATTCTCCTATCCAGTGTCTCTAATAATACTCTTCTATTCGTAGTGGGTTTGTCTGGTCTCCAACCTAATTTTGAGCTGTTATAAACCGATGCAAGCTCTGACCTTACACAGCTCAATGATTTATCATCAATTAGTTCTGTGGAGTCCTGTTTATAATCAAAATCGAATTCTTTCTCAAATCTGATTCTATGCCAATCTAATAATTTAAAACATTCCATGTGTATTGATCGACCAGCCAAAGATTGCTAGGGACGAAAGGGGGAAATGCGATGAAAAAACCTTACCATTAGACGATTTTATATGGAGTCATAGGCGGAGATCGGAGAGACTTGAATTATTAATTGAATTTATATTTTATTACAACTGGTAGTATTAATATTTTTTTGCGATTCATAATGACGTGATACCAAACATACATTATAAGAAATAAATATACACAAACACTGAATATTGAGAACAAAATAAATATATTTTTTAGGCAACAAGTAATATTCCTATGTACGCATTATGATTGAACAGCAAAACAAATTATGCATTCTTCTAAAATAGAATACAACAAGTCAAAAATATCTGACTGAATAGAAAAATATAGGAAAACAAAAAGTAATTTCTTGATGAAATAACCCATAAACAACACATAGAATTAGACTTTCTACTGAGATACTAAAAGCCACAAACCAATAGTATAATAAATGAATATCTAAAAATTCTAAAAGGTAGCCAATCTAGTATAGTTTCAATCCTGATTAGAGTCATGATCACTGTCTGAGGAACTGTCATTGCTATCACTTTCACCTCCTATGTTGATTATTATTTCTTCCTGTATTTCTTGAATGAGACTGTCTTTTTCCCAATATTCATCTTCAATTTTTATAACATGTCCAATAACCTTTTGCCAGTCACTGGCACTTACTGAAGCGATGGCCTTATTAGAAATTTCATCTAGTTTTTTTATAGTAAATTCGCCGCTTGTATTATGGCTTCTAATGAAAAATTTTACTTGTGCCCAAATCATCTCTATGGGATTAAACTGACACATATAGGGTGGCGTTCGAAGTGGGGTGTGTCCGAAACTTCTTATTAAATTATCTATCTTATAATTTTTCTCATCAGATGGTGGCCTATGTAGACAAGCTATTTCATAAAGCTCCATTTTTTTAGCATTAGGATCATGCTCTATACCTTTTTTGCTCAACCACGTGATGATGTCTCTTTTTAGAGAAGATCTAGTTGGAGGCTTGTCTTCCAAAGCTGAATGGTAAGGTGCATTATCCATTATTATAATACTATTAGGAGGAATGTTAGGAAATAGTTTTTCAGTAAGCCACTTCGTGAAATTTTCTTGGTTCATTTGACCGTGATAATCACCAGTGGCACAGCCAGCCTTGAAAATGAGACAGGCTCCAGGAACAAAACCATCTTGCGAACCCGCATGAACAATTATAAGTCGTCCTGGAAATGAATAAATAGCCTCATTTTAGTGTTATTTTAAGTTTGCCAACACCTTTTTGAATCACTATGTATAAAAAACATATTTTTGAGAAAAAAATACTTGCAAGGGATTATGTATTCAATTAGACAAATTAAATGAGCACTTATTAAGAATATTCCAAAATTGAGAAAAATGTATAATAAGCAAAATCGAGGTGAAAGAAACTTTATTACCTGTAGAACTTATATTGCTCAGGACACCCATAATTTCTTCGCTTTGCCAGCATTTCTTGAAAGTGAGGTCATTATCAACCCAAGTTTCGTCCAAATAAATAATATGCCTTCCTTCTTCCCGGAACTTTTAATAGACCTAAGATACTTGTATCGCCAATGTAAAATACTGGGTCTTTCCATTAGTAATTTCCTTTTGTTGTGGCATTTACGCCAGTAAAATCCTTTTGCTTTTAAAAGCAGCCTCAACGATTCTTTACCAAATGGAAATTCCATTTCTTCCTTCAGTTTGATTAGAAGTTTACTACAAGTAGGTACCACTTTAAAATCACAGTAAAATTTTTCTATCATTCTCCGAATAATGGAAAAATCGACTCCATCAATTTTTTGGATCACAGAAGGGCGTGATCTCTTTTTTCCGGGAGAAGCTAAAGGCTGTGTGGAGGTTGCATTTTGCCTGTCTTTATCTTCTTTTCTAATTTTACTTATAGTTCGTTCACTAACACCCGTATAATATGCCGCCCTTGCATTTCTAGCTACCAGTGGATAAACGAAAGTATTGTTAGCCGCTTCTGCATCGCAAGCACGTATCACGTTTGCTATTATTTCCCTTGCCTGGCTGTGAATAACTTTCCCATGCTTGAATTCCATTATCACCACTAAACAGTAAATTATATTTTCAAAGTATTTGCCAACTGCCTACGCCTATGGGAGTAGGTTTATAAATGACCGTGCCATCGGCACGTTATTCTAGTTTCAGATAAGATAAGAGTTTTGGACCAATCAGCGACCGGATGTTTACCTGCGGCCTGGGTTTTCCAGCTACATTGCCAAATTCAGCGGAACAATTCTATATCTTAAATATGTTAATATGTATGGACCGCATTTTATGTAGAACATCTGACAACTTCGCAATTTTTTGTCCGCATTCTTTCGGCTTGCAATCTTTCGCTGGTCCAACATTAAGTTGAGTGAGGTGTTATTCTCTGAGATAGCCTTTCCTAATGGAGTCATAGATAGTTTAGCTCCCAATCTTATACAGGGCCATCTTCCTTTTGATGCTATGAAAGAGATACAAAATTGTCTCTTTAACAATGCGCTTATGTCCCTATTGATCTTACCTTCCGACATCCCTCCTCTTCATCAACAGTTGGATGACCCCAATGCCTGTACAATCCGTGTAACTCAGATAGCTGATCTGGAGTAGCTGTTATGGTTGATATATAATCACGTAGTGTCTCAATAGAGCAGTAAAACTTCTTTGATAATTCTTTATCATGCCATTTGTAAAATCTATTGGCGGCTTGGAGAATATCGAATTTGTGCAATAATAGACTCAATATCATTGGCTCCCATTCTTTTATTTCATTATAAAAAGTGTTTCCTACTTGCAGGAATTTTCTATCTAGTGTTTTATATATCAGCTTAATATCATCAGGGTTTATATATCCTGGTTTTCCCTTATTAAAGCTCATATACATCAGAGTAAACACTCGAGATGTTATTGTGTCACATAACATCTTGACTTGATCATAGTCAAAAGCTTAATAGGTGTCATTATAATTCCCAATAGCAAATGATCTACTTACTAGAATGTCAAATGATCCATTACACCTTAATTTGTAACTTATCCATCTTTTAGAGTTGGTTGCTTTTAAGTCTTGCATGAGAGTTCTTACATCTTCGAACTCAGTTTTTGCTGAGTACAGTTTCAAATGATCGGATGTTAATCTTAATCTTTTCTTTTGATCTGGGTATAGCCTCTTGTAACAGGAATGTTTAAAATGCAACCAATTGTTTCAGAATTTTATTTTATTCTTCAAATACAATTATAATATAAAACATACATTCATACAAAATTATAGTTATTAATGATTGGCATATAAGTAGCTTGATCGCTTGCTACTTGCTTTATTTCAACTAAGATTTTCTCAAAGTTAATGCAGATATTTTATTTTTTGAATAATAAGTGTTCATAATTAAAGGCTGCTTATAAATGTTCTGCATTCACGTAGCCAACTTGAAATTTTAAACTTGTTGAGAAGTATTTTTTTGTATTTTATTTTTTATTTATTTTGTTTTCTTTTTTATATTTTGTTAAAACTGTGTCATTGTTTGTTATTTTTACAGTTATTTTGTCTAACTGTGTACATGTGATACTATAGGAACAAATATTTATGACTTTTATGATATTCGAAACATTATAAAATAAACTTACATAATAACTATTGTCTTTTTGTAGTATCATAAATCTGAAAAAAAAAACATCACACAAGGATTCCGTGAAAACGTGACAACGAATAATAAACTGACGATTTCATAGCACAGCAATTTTTTAATAATAATCTCAATATTGAAGTGTCTCCTTACTCATCATATTTTTATTTTATTCGATTGAAGAGAAGGGGGTGCCGTCTGAAGCATCGGTGCTTTTGTGAAAGAATCCCCTTATGACAATTGAAGAGGGAGTCTGCATCAGTGCTTCTGGGAGCGAGCTCAGGTTTTGTCTGGCTGAAAATGTGCCACTTAATCGACTACGACTTTTTACTAATTTATTTTTTCATAACGCTTACAAATAGTAAAATAGCTACGGAACATCTTTAAATGCTAATGCAACTACTGCTTTCTGATGACTTGCATAGTCTCTTTCCATTGCTCCAGTTTTCACATTCCACAGTTTTGCATAGCCATCTGAGGATGCTAGAACAAATAAATGTCATCAATGGCGCATAAAAACTTAAATAAGAGATTATGAAGAAGATTATGACGGTTAGTACAGATATTAGATAGCTTTCACAATGGTTGTTATTAAATGAGAAAATACTATTGTCAACTCATAAGCTCCATAGACTTAGACTATCACGCAAATTTCTGATTGCTTTCTCAACGCACATTGCAGTAGAATAGGAGCGTTTGTGGCTGCATTCTATGTTCATTTACCTGTAAAAACATACTGTCCATCACCACTAAAAGCTGCATCCCAAACCCATCTTTGATTTTCCTGTTTCAGCTCTTGTAACAATATAAATGTTTCTGAACACCAAATCCTTGCTGTCTGATCAGCCGATGTGGTGACTAGCAATCTGAAAAATTGTCAATGTATTGTGTAAACAGATTCAAAAATATTATTTATGGAAAATACACCTATATGAATTGAACGTGGAAAAATTATCAAAGGAAGGTTACTGCAATGTTTCTGTATTGTTTAACAGCAATTATAATCAATAAACAACATTTTAAAGTTATCGAACGGGTTAACCCAGAAATCTGCATCAGTAAACGTCGCACTAACGTATGTCCTAAAAGTTTTGGGTCAAAATTCATTGGCTTTAATTTTAACAAACACAAAACAATATCAAGTTGCCGTTGGAAGCAAAGGTTTGTTTACGTACTTAACTGTCAGTTGACATTTATTTATTTTGAAGTTCTCGTTTTAAGATGTATAAATTAGAAATGAGAAAAGGTATCTATAAGTAGGTTGGGCGGGTACCCAAAGCTGAAATCTGTCGGATATTCCTGAATGAAAACATTTCACGCAGAACCATTTATCGAACAATAGCGGAGTGAGAGCAGGGAATACCATGTCTGAATCGCCCAAAAAGTGGAAGACCACGTGCATTTAATGCAGAGAGATCAGAGTGTTTGGTGAGAAGAGCAAAAAATCAGGTTGGAACGTCAACAAGGAGACTCGCTCGTCAATACAGATCTAAGAGTACGATATCGTTGGAATTGAGGAGGAATGGTCCTCAATATCTAAAGAGACTTAAGTGCCCCAAATACTCTCAGGCGCAATTCCTTCGTATACCAAGATGCTATCGTCAACTGAGACGGGTACACTTTGCCAATGGAAAAAGCATTATTTTAGACGACGAAAAGTATTTCACTTTGAGTAATGAAGGGAAACGACGGATTTTATACGGACAACGTAGAGGAATGCCCCGACAATGTTAGATACAAATATAAAGCGAAATTTACAGATAAAATCCTTGTCTGGTGCGCAATTTTTAACACGGGTGTATCCCAACCTTTTGTGGGAAGAGTGAGGGGTGAAACTTTGAATAGTCAGAGCTCTATTGATACCTGCCTTTCCAAATTGCTTCAGTTTGTCCACAAACATCATGCTAATGAGCATATCATGTTTTGGCCAGACGTAGCATCATTTCATTACTCAAGAGATACAAAAAACTGGCTCCGACAACCCAACATACCTTTTGTTCCTAAAAACGATAATTCTCCAAGCTTGCAGCAGGCTCACTCAATAGAGGATTTTTGGGCTTTACTGTCTAGGAATGTTTATCATGGAGGTCCCAAATGAAGAACAATTAAGATTACGAGTTTACGAAAAACAGAAAAATTGATCTGAATTCCGTCCTGGACATCCTGAGAGACACTCGAAGATAGTTGCGTCTGGTAGAGCAGAATGGGCCACTCCACATAATTCGATATTATAGTTTAGTTAAGAATTGAGTTGTAATTTATGATAACTTCATTAAAAAAATCCGATAAATATTTTGTCCCAAAACTTTTAGGACATACGTTATTATCACAGCTTAGATAATAATGAAGCTCTCCTGTCAGTGTCAAAAACGGTCGCCATTTCGGCGGAGAAAATGGCAGGTAATTCTCCTAGTCCGACGATTAAAGAGGTTCTAGGGTGACATTCACAAACATCACTTCAGGGTCCTTGATACTTGAGAAACCCTCAATGGCTATTTCGTGTTTCATAGTGGCTAGGAAGCCACCGCTCTCTTGAGAGTCACTCTCACGGGGATTTTTGAGGTTAATCAAAGCTGTCACCTAGTTGACAGTGATTATGGGCAAAACATGGATTATGAAGGGTTTCTGAAATGTATTGACAACAAAGAGGAATCACCAGTAGTTTAGCGGGTGTCAAGATATTTGAGAGATACGACTACTATACATCCGTTAAGTTAAAGATAATGAACAACGGTATATATATATATATATATATATATATATATAGATTCTCAAAGGCACAGTAAGAGACATCATAGCCCCATTTAATATATTTATTGCTTGAACCCTTGATTTATTAGGTCAGAATCAGCTGGTGGAGGAAGGCCACTACCAGTGGCTAGTATCTCGTATTTCCTTCTGGTATCCGCTTTCATTGTCCAGTAAGATGTGAAAAATGTGCAAGTGATCTGATTGATCGAATTATAGAGCATACTTAATAATAATAATAATATTCTTTATTGCCAGCAAAATTTTTCAAGAAAAAACATAAGCAACGTCAAGGGAAAGCAAAAATGTAGTCAATACCATAAATAACTTTTAGGTAAAAATGTTATTAAAATAAAATGATAGAGCTCACGTGTTAAAATCAGAGTTGTACAAACATCTGTCCAGCAAAAACTTTTTCACCGCTCTTTTGAACCTAATGAGGTTGCTCTCAGATTTTATATCGATAGGAAGCATATTAAATATTTTAACAGCCATGTATAATGGAGCCCTCTTTAAAAATGTGGACAAACGTGCAGGCACACTCAGATTGTCTCTGCCTTTGGTCACAATGGTCATACTTTCAGCATAACAATGTGCGTTACTATTAAAGGAATTCATAAGCTTTTTAACAAATAAAACAAGTGACAAAAAATACAGGAATGGAACCATCAAGAATCCCAATCTCAATAAATGTTCCCGACATGATGTTCGAGGATGAAGTCTCAAAATGCACCTCAGGATGCGCTATAACTGCCATGGCACCCCGCGAAGAGCCCCAGAATATTATACTATAAGTTAAAAATGACTGTACAGATACATAATAAAATTGCCATAAAGTGTTCAATGAAACATCATTTTGCAGCCGCCGCACCAACGCAACGCACAGAAGCTGTAGAGTTTACCAATCAAAACAGATGTTTGACAATCCCAGTTCAGACTCGAATCCAGGTAAATGGTAACTTGTGTTTTATATTTTCCCTCAGCTTCTTCACTTGCTTGGAATTCCTGGTAGTTGTACAAATTGATTATTTCCCAGGTTTCTTGCTTTTACGTGATACCGATCGTTTTTTTTTATTCGATAATATCTGGATTCTTCAATTAGGCTGCATAATAGAAATTTTTCAGCCTCTGAATAGTATTTCCTTCAGCCATTTTGATCTATGTAACTTAAAGCATAAATGCCCAAATCACAACCATCAAATAGGTTATCAGAAATTTGATTTTTGCAGCAGCCGATGTTGCCGAGTGCTATGCCAGCGGCCGCAGATATTCTTTGCAATCTTAAATTGATAATATTTTGATATGTTCTAGTGTAGTTTAAAAAGGAGTAAGTTTGCTCAAAAAGAGGCAACGAGATATTAATGACTATTTATTTATGAAAAAGTTTCAAAATAGAATTGTAGTGATGGAAGTATTTACAATAAAGGGAAACATATTTACTTTTGTAATGTACTCTACGCTGCTGCGATATTATGAATCCATTGCATTTTCAAAGCAAACACTGCTAAAAACACCAGACAAATACAACCTTCACCCAATCACAAGAATTTCGGTGTGATTGTCGCGGAAAAAAACTGGATCAAACCACCTGCAAAGTGACAACCAACGCCGTCAAACCTGACACTTCTGGCAACTCCTCAGCTAGGTTGCTTCTACATTTAGGCCCAGTTTTTTATGTGTAAGCGGTCGGTAGTTCCGGTATTTTGAATACCTAAAAAAGATAGTTACAAAAATGTTAAGCAACAATTATACGTACCGTACTGGGAAAATATACGGTTCTCTACAGGGTGATTCATATTTACATGACGACATATACACTTTTTAAATGGAATATCCTTTCCTTATTCTTCGCCCATTCTCAACAAAAACAATGAACATACAAAAATCGGACAGGATTTATCGAAGACCACTTTTGTTTAGAATGAGCGGAGAATCAAAAAATATTCATGCGAAAAAGTTTAGTTTTACTAATGAAAAATGTTTCTTAAAACTTTCTTCCAAATCTTCATGTGGGCTCAGAATAAAATCTGATGGTATATTCTTTTTTACCAAGCAAGAGTAGCAACTGCTATGGGTCCCGCGCACCAATGCTTTGTGGCCGTAAAAAAGTTCTCGCCTGGTGGAGAAATCACTGATGCAGCACCAAACTCCAACCCGCCACTCAATTTTCAGTCACCTCTGGGACCCTTTATGATTTGCTACAGGCCCCACGCTGGCCTAATCCAAAACTTTTATCTCAAGATAGCATTATTTCAAAGAAATATTACTGCTGTTAAATATAAGCGGTAACGAATTAATTGTAAATGCACGACACTGAATATGTTTCTAAATAATAATAACTTTCATTCAAATTGCTTTGCAGATATGAAATGTCAACAGAAAAGATGTACATGACTAAATTAGAATAAAATAAGTAGTAAAAACATTATGCTTGAATGATGTATAAATAGTTGAATCTAAAAAGTATGCATAAATGTATAATAAGTAAAATAATGAATAAAACAGACAAATACGCAATTATTAAAAGTTATAAAACTCTTGTAGAGAGTAAAAACTACCTACTCTAGGTGGTCTTTCCAGCTCAAATGTTCATCTACTATTAGACCTAAAAAATTTGTTTGGTACTCTTTCCAGTGACTTATTGTTTATTTTAACTGTGATGTTCTATGGCGTTCGTTTGGTTTTATCTGTTTTAATTAGTAACCAATTTAATACTACCCACTTTTGAAAACTCAGCAAAAGTAACCAAGAGAAAATTATTATCACTCATGTAAATTATTCACAAATAACAAAAACAGAAACGGTGTCCTCCCCAGCTTAACCTGAATTTTTCTGTTTGACATAAATGATAGAATCCATTGATCTACGGGATTTCTGAAGCTATAGCCTTTAATTTTATTTACGAGGATGTTGCCCTGAACACGGTCGAATGCTTTTGATAAATCAAAAAATATTGTCATTGCGTGATAATTTTCATCAAGGTGTTTAGACGAACGAAAGCAATGAAAAGTCTGCTTTATTTTCTCAAATAGTTTTGAGAAGCCAGACGGTAATGTTATGGGGCGATAATTTTCTGAGAATTCAGTGCTTCCTTTTTTATGAACAGGCAACACCACAGCTAATTTCAACAAATCCGGAAAGGTACCAATTTTCATTGATAAGTTAAATGAGTATGTGAGTGGATATATTAAATATTGAGAAATGAACTTTAGCACTTTTACTGGTAATCCATCAGGACCACATGCATCCTTATTTTTCAATTCATTTAGAGATTGCATTATCTCTTCTGGGGATATCTCATAAAATGTCATCGAGTTGAGTACTGTTTTGTCTTTAACATACTTGGTTTCTTTAATATTTGCGTAGTCTATGGTAATTAACTTTTCAGCTATTGTTGCAAAGTAATCACAAAAGCAATTTGCAATAGATACATAAAGATATCAGACAAGACTAAGGTCTAAAACAAATGAAAAATACAATACTTAGATTATGGGAATATCCCAAACTATTTTTAATATTTAAAACGTCGGAACTATGGACCGATCACACATTGAAAACTCGCAATGTATATAGAAATATTCTAATTGAGAAGTCGCTGGCAGTAGTGTCAGATTACATTGCGTTGGTTGTCAGTTTGCTGGTGGTTTGCTCTCGTTTTTTCCGCGACACAGACACCGAAATTCTCGTGACTGAGTGAATGTTGTATTTGTCACAGCAGCGTAAAATAAATAGCAAAGTAAATATTTTCAGATTACAAATTCCATTACAAATTTATTTTGAAGCTTTCTCATAAATAAATAGTTATTAATACTTCGTTGCCTCATTTTGGGGAAATATACTCCTTTTTAAACTAGACTAGAACATATCAAAATATTATCATTTTAAGATTGCAAAGAATATCTGCGGCCGCTGGGATATTACTCGTCCACACCGGCTGCTGCAAATTTAAATCAAATTTCTGTTAACCTATTTGAAGGTTGTGATTTGGGCATTTATGTTTTAAGTTACACAGATCAAAATGGCTGAAGGAAATACTATTCAGAGGCTGTAAAGTTTCTATTATGCAGCCTAAATGAATCCACAGACATTATCGAATTAGAAAAAAACGATGGGTATCCATCCGTTCATAAATAAACAGTCGTCCGTCGCTTCTTTTTGAACAAGCATATTCCTTTTTATTATTGATTCACACAAACTACACTAGATCATATAGAAATATTATCATTTTAAAAGTGCAAAGAATATCTGCGACCGCTGGCATGGTACGCGGCAACACCATCTGCTGCTGAAAACTGAAACCCTCTTTCATCGTTGTACTAGGGGAAGTTACATGCGATTTGCCCCGACGAAATTGCGACCGTTTTGACAGTGACAGGAGACTTTCATAGCTGATTGTTATCTAAGCTGTGCAGTTATTACAAGGTATTCCAGGTTATGCAAGGTTACAGTCAACTAAATCCTATTTCATGACTATCCATCACGTTTTTACGTCTACTGAGGTGAACAGCTGATCAGCAAGTGATATCTTTGTATTGGTTTGTAACGTTGGCAATGATGAATCGGGTATAAAATCTAGTAAAACTTGCTTGTAGCTTTTTTTGTACGCAAATGAAGTTTCAATAAAAGAGTTGTAAGCAAGTACAAAATGAATCTCTAGTGTACAAAAAAACAAAACAAAATACGGCTCTGTCTACCTGGCTTTGACGGATCCGTCAGAATTATGTGTCACTTGTCGATATGGAGAATTTTGAAATATTACTAGATTATCAACTGTTATTCTACCATAATGGATATTCGTGAAAAAAGACAATATTATAGCAGCTGTGATGTGAGATGCCTAAAGCATTCTTGGTCAGTCTTCACGCAGATGGCATTTAAAAGAATCAAAGTGTTCCACTATGAGTAGACCACAGGTTTCTGAAACAGGTTATATTCCGACTCCCAACAGAAATTCCTTTGGCAGACTAGTATAGATGACTCTTATAACAGTTTCACCATCCATGAAATTCGAATCGTCCACCCATGTATACCTATGCACATCTCTAGTAAAATAAATGGCCTTGACAACTTCTTTACCAGCGGAGAAATGTTTGGTCACTTCCTCCTATTCATCTTTTAGTCATTACAGAGACAACACTTTTAATTTTCCTTCTTCCAACGTGCATTAAAAAGAGCATGATGTACTAACTGTACTGTGTGGGTAATTATGAGTGTCTAATTAGGAAAAATGATTGGGGACCACTCGCTTTCCTTCCTTATGGAGCCATTATTTTTGGGCTTGGCTTAGGCCATCTCTTTGTCCCTGGGCCACCTCTTTGATTGGACCTGACTTGGCTCACTCTTCTTGAACTTCCATTATGGACCTTATTTAATATCTACAAAGCTAAGCTAATCCAACCTTAGCCTTTGACCATGCACATATACATCAAACTCTGAGCCATAGCCTATGGCTTCTATCGACTTCACATGCATGAAGTTGCAGTCAATAAATTTTAATTTATTGCATTGGAAAATTCATTTGCGAAAAATTGATCTTGTTGATGTGTATAGTTGTTAGTTTTTTCCTTTAAAATGTAATGAAAATGCTTTTGCGTAAGAAAATTTGTAAAAATAAAATTCTACTCCGAGCCTTGGTCAACTTTTGTCATACCCTATCTTTGAGCCTCATGACTCTATCTGAGCCTCCAGAAACTAGTTATAGCCTCTTTTCTGTGTGAGAGCACAAGAGGTGGTATATGTACCACCTTTTATGGACAAGCACAGAAATGATGTTCAAGCATTTTTGAAACCCTCGCCTCCGCCACTGGCCGTCACGACTGCCACTTACGAAAAAAATAAACTGTACCAAACAAAAATAGGGTCTTCTTAGAAGAATAGTTGGAAAATACCCCAACAAATGATGGTTATACTTTCTCTATAAAAATGCGTGAAAATGCTCTGCACATCTACGACAGATGTCCTATAACAGCTGTTTTATGATGATGACAGATAACTGGAGTGACGTCATCGTAACTACGTATCCGTTTTTGTAAGAAAATTCAAACTGAGATAGCTTCAGAGCATTTTCTTCAAATAGTTTTGTTTTAATTGTTGTCTATAAATCTACATATCTTTTAAAATGACAGTAAACACACAAATATCACATCATTCCTATTTTTAAGGCATTAGCTTTCTGCCCCACGGTTTCACCGGCAGAACGTGCAGGAAGTGCCACTAATAACGAAACTGAATTTACCAATGCCATCCAAGATACAAAACATGATCGGGGGTTTATATAGCATTACTTCAAAATAACTTTTGTTAGTAACAGTTTCAAGCACACGAAGTCGCAGGTAACGGCTAGTTCAAAATAAAACGTCTGTATCGCTTGACGATCACAGGTTGAGTGGGGCGATGGAAGGCCGCACTGTGCGGGTTGGCGCTGATGATGGAGATTTTGTTACTTGACACAACATTTGATTTCAAAACTGACAATGAGTTCGCGGATAAATCCATGCCTATAACCTTCCTAGTAAGTGTACACATTTTGGTTTAAACATGACATTCACATTTATATGTAGAGATACCTTACCTGGAATCTGGACTGAATTTACACTTCAATGCATGTCTTTTGTGGGCCTCAAACTTATGTCTGGGAGTAAGTTTTGTAGCAATATCTCCAAGCCCAGTTTCTAAACTCCAAATGTAACATCTTCCTTTGTTATTCACTGAGGCCATTAAATTACTATCTGGAGAAATGTCGATATCAAGGATCATTGCATCATTTTCTGGAATCTGAAAAGTAAGAGTATGAATAGCAAATATTATGCAATATAAGGGTGCCATTGGGACTAGGTAGAAAAATCCAGAAACTCGTAGTCAATCAATAGTCGTGAGTACCCATACTTTTCTAATGTTCCAGATAATTGCCGCAATGTTGAAGGCTTTCGTGGATTGCAAAAAACAGTTTTAGCTGAATAAAAAGCAGATCGTTTTATCAGTAATAGTTGATATGGGATACTGAACGCCATTGCGAAATAGCATCTATCTCACAGTTTCCATTTGTTCTTTTTGAGTGCTGAATCCCAGACTAAGGTTTGCCAACAAATTTTGATACCTAAAACAACACTGAAAAATGCAAAACATTGGACACATACCTTCTAGAATTTTTACTGAAAAGGGCCCACTAGCAACTTTAACTTTGAGTCTACTGTCATTTAGAATCTAAAAGTTCTTTGGCAAGTTCTTTACTTTGCGTTATAAATAGTAATTTTACATTTTCTCATTTTAGAGCCATGAGATTCTGTAAAGGGACGCCCCAAAAATTTATTGTATCAAATTGTTTAAATCACAAATACAATCACATTGGAACAACATAGTGTGAATTATATAATAGTAATTGCATTGTCAGGAAAGATAAAAAACAAGACAATGGTATATACTCACAATAGATATGAACCACTGCAAACAATAGAAGTGGTCAGCCATCCAGCAACCCAACAAGGATAACATTCTAAGAAAGAGAATAGATAATCACGACAGGAAATCAAAAACTTCAAGTTATCTCCAATCGTCCTGGTGGGATTATTTGAAAATAACAGTAAGAATACCAGCGACTTGAAAAAAAATTGATGGTCCATTCTACCTGAAATATACAAAGAATACAACTCTGTTCTTCCTGCAAGAAACCAGTGAGAAGATCAAATTGGAACTGACAGACTCAGATGTTGAGTTTCATACCTACACCCCAAGATCGGCAAAACATCATGCTTTTGTCATCAGAGGCCTAGATTACTAACCCAATCTAGACGACAAGCTGACGCAACACAAAATGGAAGTTTTCAATTTATATAGAATGAAAACAAAGGGGAGAACTTTATATTTGGTAGTGACAAGCAACCAAGTAAAAGGCGTCGAAACGAGCGCCCAGTAATCCAATGCAGGAGATGTCACAGACACGGACATGCCACTGCTAGGCAAGGCAATTGATCCCAGTAGTATCCACCACTGCCAAGGAGAGCAAATGCCACCAGGACTGAAACTTCAAAACAACGTGTGACTATTCCTGAGACAACGGCATTGGACACTTTACAAGAATACCCTACGAAGTGAAACAACTGAACAAATCAGTGAACTTGAATGGACTTCTCGTTGCCTTCAACAACCTCAACCGCCTCCTTGGAACCGCTAGTTCCTTGCAGGAAAAAATCGCAACGTTCACAGAATATTTCCAGGGGCTAGATATACTATTTAAGATAAATAATATCTATATACCGTACATTAATATTAATATCCTTAATAATAAAAACACCGAATTTGTAAATTTTGTATTACATCGTCGGATAGATATTTTCGCGGTTTCTGAAACCCAATTTAGATTTCGCGACCGTATAAGGCTCTGAGGATATACCAGATACGGATAAACCTAAACATCACAAGAGCGAAAGCTGGAGGTGGGCTTATAATGTTCATTAAAAATGGTATTAGCTATACTGAAGTAAAGTTTCAACGTATTTCTTTGGAATATGTTGCCATCAAACTAGAAAAAAGACTAGTACTGATGGCGATGTATAAGCCACCAAATATACAAATTAATGAACAAGAATTAGATAGGATATTCAGTCACCATCACAAAGTCACAATAATGGGGGATTTCTATTGTAGACATGTACACTATCAATGATTACTATTGATCAATACTGAGTAACTACCTTGAAAGTAGAACCAATGTTGTATTTTTCTATCCAGATACCCTGACGCATTTTCCATATAATGGTAGCAACTCATCAATTTATCACTTTCATCTGATCATAATCCAATAAGCTTCCAAATGAAATATAAAATGAAAAGAGATACAAAAACTGTGTGGAACTAACGAAATTCAGACTGGAGATCTTTCAAATATCACTTAGATAAGTATATTGATACCAAATTTTTAAAGACTCTCAAAGAGTTGGATGAAGCTACTGAACATTTTATAAAAGCTATTCAAACTAGTAGAACTTATGCTGTAGAAAGAACAACAATACATGAGGACTTTAACAATATATCAAATGACATTAAAGCAAAAACCACAATAACAAAGCTATGGTAAAAATACCAAAATATCGACAACAAAGAACTATTTTTACAATTATCTAGGGACATAAACTCTGACAACAAAGAACTATTTTTAGCATTATCTAGGGACATAAACTCTGTCATGTTAAAACTATTTCAAATAACATTTGTATATATCAAACAGTGTACTTCATGTAACAAGCATAACACTTTTTGTACTCACATTTGCATATGGACTATCATAGAAACAACATTTAAATAATTATAAGCTACAATCTTGAGAACTCTATTTTCAGCTTGTCTAATAGTAATATGTGAAACTTAATGAAGAAGATGACTTACCAACTGCTCATTATTATCAGTCCTGAGATCCCATCTGTAGATAATACCATTCTGATCACCCACAAATAATTCTACTTGATTTGGATGTAAACAGGTGCAGTTAATGGCAGACTGTACTTCAAATATTTTAGGACATTGATTATTCCTGGACCTTAAATCCCATATGCGTGCTCTGCAATCCTCACCTCCTGAGTACATCCATTTGCCATCTTGTTGGAAGCCTACACTGGTTACATTCTTGGAAGTGCCTTCATAGTTCACTATAGCATTAGGATTGTTTGAAGTTAAATCATACATGTAGATATGTTGGTAGCTTGCAGCTGCGAGAAGGTGTCTGTCTGGAGTTATTTCCAAGTCGTTTACTTGCTAAAATAATAAGTCTGTTGAAAGATTACAAAAAAAAACTGAATATAGTACCGAATCGGCATGTTGCACAGTCCTGTTGCATATTCCACTATGTGTCTGCCACAGTTTTATTGTATGATCGTATCCACCTGTAGCCAATATAATTTGGTCATTGTCCAAATTTTCTATAGTCATTTTTTTGTAATATTTGCAATGCAGAGTTTGTATTTAGTAATTTGAGGTTATAGTCTGAATTAATAACACATCATTGACACTATTGACAGTCTTGCCTTAGCCGCTTTCCACTGCTTTTGAATAAGTTGACAGTTGTATGCACCCGGAGTGTGACGCTCCTCCGGACTGCTCTACCAAATGTGCACGGGCAGGGCACAAAACATATACGGAAAGAACGCTTAGGGTGAGGTTACATTAGATGCAAGTCCGTGCGTTTTTTAAGTCGTATGTGCTCGGACGAAATTCATCTGGACGACTAAACTGGTTACATTACATGCGTGAGTAACGAGGGCAGTTCGTAGTTTGAAGTGTTAACAAAATGAATGCTACTTCTCTGCTATTGTTTGAAAATAGTATACTAAAATATCTCATCGCGGAAAAGAAAAGAAAATATTGGATCAATGATTTGTATAAAACCAGGAAGAACGAAGGTGAATATGTCAGGCTGTTCCAGGAATTAAAACAGCAGCCATCAAAATTTTTGGAATATTTTAGAATGTCAGCATTGACATTTGACTACATTCTGAACAAAATTGAAAAGAGAATTGAAAAACATTCTAACTTCCGGGAATGCATTAAGCCAAGGGAAAGATTGTCTATAACTCTAAGGCAGGTATTTATTAAAAATAAACTTTTTATTTATATAATTGTATAACATTTATTGGAAAGTATGAAAATATGTTTGAACGTTCTCAGTACAGTGGTTGGAAACATTTGATTTGTATTATTATCAGATACAGTATTAGTTGAAGACTGATACGAAGATGGTGAAGTAAGCGATGTAGCGACAAGATTTTGAGCAGTTGAATTGTTGAGCAGCATTTCTTGTTCAGTTATAAATAGTTGCTGGATTTTAAGTCGCATGTACATATTTCTCAGAGGTGGTAGGCTCTTCATTTGTGGTAAAAGGCTCATCAGAAACATATAATCGCTGTCGTTGTTATAATGATTATTGTCATTTGTAGAGCTCATTGCAGATAACTTTGCCATTTTTTTCTCTTCTAAAGCTAACAGCCGATCATACATAGTTGTTTCTTTCTTTTTTTGACTTAAAAATAATTTTCTCTTCATTGACTCTTTTTTGGGCTTTAGGTGTGCGAAAATTTTCATTCTCTTCATCTTTATCTCGTTCATTTCCTTCATCATCATGCTCTTCTTCTGTGTTTACATCAGAACTATTACATTCATCAAATTCCTCGGTGAGTGTATTGCACTACTCTGTTCTGTCATTTGAATATTACCACTTGAAGATCTATTTGCCATGGAGTCCGTTAAAAATAACATAGCATCAAAATAAGCCCATTTAGTTTTTTTCCGCCTTCGTCTCCTGAACGACCTCTTGACACTTTATTCAATTCTTTGCGAAAATTATCTCTGAGGCTTCTCCATTTACTTTTTACTTCTGCACCTGCAAAAATGACTATAGTAAAGCTCCATTTATCAAAATAATAATTTTCATAGAAACTATACGCAACACCTAAGTTTACAATTATCGATTATCACGAGCACGAAGAATTGTTGAATGTGCTTTCGGAATTTTATGTGCTAAATGGAGGATTCTCAAAAAAGAAATTGAATGTCACCCAGATAAAGCTGAAATTATTGTAAAAACTACGTGCCTTCTACACAACATAATCATCGATAGAGAAGGATTTAGCAGCGAGATCAATATTCAAAGAAATACTCCTGCAACTGAGATTAATAATCTTCCTCCTTCAAGAAGAAACAACCATTCTACAGATGCAGCTTGCAATACACGGGAAATATACAAAAATTATTTCAATGATCCAACTGGTTCAGTGTCATTCCAGTATGTTTGCAATACAAATACTTCGATTATAATTATATTTGCACTTACTTGTATACTTCATCTCCGTAGCAACTTAATCCCAAAGTTTTTTTACTAGAGTCCTATTATGATAGTCTTTGGATTTTTGATCCCACAAAGCATTTCGTCTTTGTACAAAAGTTATCAATTTTTCATTATCCATTTTGCAACTTGGAAATTGTCAATAGATATTTTTATATCTGCATATACTTCACCGTGCACGCATGAAAAATCAAACCAGTTTGATTTCGTCCGACCTCCGGATAAAGACGTACGTACTCCGACGTACAAGCTCAGGCCAGTGTAACCACACTTGTTGGGTAGAACGCGTCTGATTTTCGCTGCGAGCACGTCCGCGCGCGTACGATTTAAAAATCGTATGGACCCGCATCCAATGTAACCGCCCGCTTACTTACTGTGCACGGGAACGCGACGATAAAAACCTAACCTGTTTTTTGATCCAGACAATGGAAGTCCGAAAAAATAACTTTACCTCTATGTTGTCTCTTACTTTCAAACAAACTGGTTTTTGATGTTTTGTTTTGACGTTGACAATTTGTATCACACTGCCAAACAATGAAAATATAAACACATTTTGCCTTTATTTTCAGAAGCATTGTCAGACTATCCAATTAGTGCACCGAATGTCCGATGACGCAACACGTCAGAGGTCAGAGATCTGCATTTTTATTGTAAAGCGTCTGGATAAATGTGTCAAATTCTTATTTTAGAATAGACATTCAACATTACTTTCAATGTGTCTAGTTATAGATGACAACTACTAGCCGCTATGAACCTGCAATCTGGCACTCTCTTGTGATCTTTATTATTCATGAACATCTCAAATGTATGTTGTGACTCTGGGTTATAACATTATCAGTTTTTTAACATTCTCGCATTCTCCATTGTCTGGTATCGATGTAATGCGCGTTTAATGCAAAAAACAAAAACGGTGAAAAAACCTAACCTAACAATCTTGACACATTGTCATTTTCATTATCTCCACTTTTTCGAAGCATATAACACCGAGTAAAAAGCTGATGTATGACACTCTAGAGTAGCGGAACGGTATTGATAGGTGATAAGCAGTACCGAGTTACTCCGAGTAATACCAATAAGGCACTGAAAAGCGGCTCTCGGTAGACTCAAGACCAGTGTTGCGAGTTGCGATACGTAGCGGAATTCCGCTATTTGTAGCGGATTATTTTGAGAAGAGCGGAGGTAGAGCAAATTAGCCCAAAATGTAGCGGAATTTATTACATACAAAACTATCATATTTATTTCACTGTTTTAACGTTAATAACGTTCTAAATCCTAAATAGGCAGTGGCTAGAGTCTGATTTATTATCACATTTCTTCTGGAAAATAGGAATAATGGAAAGGCGACAGCAGACCATTAACGATTTTTTTGATAAAAATCCTTCTAAAAAACAAACGGTGAAACCAAACGTGGCCGTACCATACACTTCGACTGCATCTGTGTCGGACTCGGAGCATCCCGAACCTGAATACAGACAAAATAGAAGAGCGGAATCTAGTGTAATCAGGTCTGAGCCTGATAATTCGACTTGCGAATCTCAGGATAACCAAGAGCCATTTAAAAAATGCGTTATATCCAATCAAGTAAAAATTACCAATATTATTGGATACTGTTCCGACAACGCTAGTGTTATGATGGGCAATACCGAATCTTTCAAAACTTATCTTTTAAAAGGTAATCCTAATATAATTGTCAATGGCTGCATTTGCCACTCTGCTCATTTAGTGGCGGTGGCGGCAGCTGAAAAGATTCCAAGCAACGTTGAAGCTCTTTTACAAAACTTAAATTCTTACTTCTCAAGAAGCCCAAAAAGGCAGTGTGTTCTTGAAGAATTACAGGAATATTTCAAAAAGACAAAATTAAAAATTTTAAGCCCTAGTAAAACAAGGTGGCTTGCTTTATCCAAATGTGTTGATAGAGTTTTGGATCAGTGGGACATCTTGCTTAGCCTATTTAGATTAGCTTCCATTGAAGACAAAAATCCTGTAGCAAATGTAATACTTAATGAGTTACAGAATCCATTTGTTAAGGCATATTTAATGTTTTTTTAAATTCGTGTTGCCCATTTTTAACCAATTTAATGCTCTCTTTCAATCAGAGAAAGTTATGCTCAATATCATATCAATAGAGACTGAGCGATTTGTACGTCATCTATATATACAAACTTTATGCGACCAGAATATTTTAAAAATGAGAAATTATATAATCTAAATCCTAATGATCCCCACTGTTTATTACCAATTGAACAAGTGAATGCTGGTCAGCATACAATGGATGCAATGAAACACTGCAATAACACGGCAATCGATCCATTTAAATTAAAATGTGTCACATTTTACCAAAAATCGGTAGAAGAGTCCCTTAAAAGATTTCCTATCAAAGACAACTTCTTTTCAGAGCTAAAGTTTCTCTCACCCGGTGATGTGATGAACAAACGTCTTATTATAAGTGATACCTTTCATGACGACGTTTTAAAAAAATTTGCCCTTCATATTGAAACCGAAAAGGCAATTTTGGAACTAAAGAAAATATGTATTTATTGTAGTGATAGTGAGAAAGAAGAAATTTTAAAAACAAAAAGTAAGGTCATTGAATTTTGGTCGTTTGTAATCGACCTCAAAAATTTTAATGACGAATATTTATTTCGCAATATAGGTAAACTGGCTCTAATCATTTTGACATTGCCTCATGGAAACGCTGATGTTGAGCGAACTTTTTCTTATATGCTTGATTACAAAACAAAAAAAAAGAAATAAAATAATACCATCAACTTTGTCTGCACTACTTACAATTAAATTAGACTTGGAAAAACAGTGCTGTTTATCCTATAGTTTTAATGAGAATCATTTAAACAAATATAAAAAGAATTTATATAATGTAAATAAGGAAGAACAAGCTGAAGAAGAAGTAATTTCTGATTCTGACTGTGAATAAAATAAGCAAACGTAGGCATTTCCACTTCTTCTTTGTCCTTATTTTTTGTTTTTTTTTTCTATTAAGATTAAGGTATTGGTGATAGTTTCTATTTTTTTATTAGTTCCTACCAAAAAACCAAAGACAGTTTTGTTTTTTTAGAGGTATACTTTTTATGTTTTTACGAAAAATTGCAATTATATTATGTTACTGTTTGTATTTTTAGTAGGGTTTTTAGACTGTTTAAAAAAAAGTAAATATGTAAAAAATATATTTGTTGTTTATTTTAAGCCTCCCCCCCCCCTTAAATTTTTAGACCGTAGCGGCATGTAGCGGAATTTTGTGATACGTGTGACGGATATTTTAAACTTCGCTCTGGCAACACTGTTCAAGACTGTGACATAACATGAGGGGATGACATAAATATAACCCTATTTTAAAAATGTCTAAAATCTTCCGATATGGAATTAGATACACTTTTCTGCCAATTTCACAATTATTCGGTGATGACAAACTAGAAAATGCGACTCCAACCGAGCAAAGAGCTGATAAGACTATTATTCAACAGGAAACAGGATGGGATCGCTTAAAACGAATGTTTGAGATAGAGTATGGAGTTGGTAGCTAATTCTTAATTATTCAGCTCTATTCAGGGAATATTAACTATTTTTAGTGAATTTGGAAACATAACTGCAGAGGCAAATACGATTTTACAAGTCGCAAGCATGAGTATATTCGTAGGCTCAATATATGGTGGTGTAGTGAACAGTAGAAAGGCTTATGTAGATTTTATGAAAAATAACCAAGCTACAAGTTTCCTGGATCATTTTGAAGCAAAGGTTTGTAATAATATGAATTATCTATTTTATTTGTTTATTAAATTTAAGAAAAATGTACGTCCAACCAGCCAGCTGCTATATTAAGGATTTTTGACATTGCACTGTTCAGATGGTAAGACGATACTTCTGCAGGACGCAACTTTGAAAATGTATATTTTTTTTGTTTGTAGAGATAAATCGATAGTTTTTTACCGATTGTTTATTTTTCATTCATATTTTGATAGTATGTTACAATTTATTTGATTCTGAATATCACGAAACTTCATTGCAGAAAAAATTACAAGATGCAGTTACAATTAGTTTTGCCAAAGGAGCCTTCAAGTGGGGATGGAGAATAACATTATTTAGCTCAACGTTTGTGTAAGTTATACTAAGACCATGTTGCTCATTTAAGGTAGTGAGCATCAACCAGCAGAGTTCAAAAGTAATTAGTATGTTTATAAAAAAATTTAAAAGTGGGAGGGGATATTTCTGATATCGGCGCTGCATATTACTTCTTTCATATGCAGGAAAATGCTAGTCAGCAATTTCATATATGTTCAGCAACATGATGAATTAATTTTACATTCTCTTGATAGGTGCTTGCTACCCTAAGACAAATAACACACAACCAGTATTTACTGTTTTTCAAACTGTTAGTATTTTGTTACAGTTTCTTTTTATAGTCGACAAAGAACTAACTACATCTTGATAAAGTGAATTATTGCAGTTGCAGCATTTTTCTTATTTAGCATAATAATTTAATAGCAGTTCTTAAAAACATCGAATTTCATTTTTATAACAAGCCACTTCTCTCAGTCTAATAATTTTAAGGTAGAAAATAGTACTCTACTCTCCGTCTCGTTGGACTTGGGCAATTTTGGGTGTGCTGATGTAGAAATTTGTCTGCAGCCCACTGCCCGATTCTGTGAATAGTTCACACGCTGAGTGGCGGATTTGAAGGGTGGTGGAGTGGTTTTTATTAGAAATTGGCCCCCTTGGTATTTGGACTCACGCCTGGGAGGAGCAGTTCCCCCATTTTTGGAGAACCTTCATTGATAGAGGGTTCTACCCTCCAGTTTTACCATCCGATTCTACCTTTGGGTTCTACCTCCGATTTTAGAGTAACATCTGGGACTTGCTGCCCTTGGTTGCCGTTTGGGGATAGTCAAGGTTTTTTTTTAATTTTAGTTTTTAGTTTGAAATTTTTGAGTCTAGTGATTAACCATTTAGCTTGGGGGGTAATACGAAATAATTCTCGTTAGCCTTCCTCCAGGACTTATCCTTAATTTTTTTTATTTTTCTGTGTTCAATAAAAATATCTGTGTACCGTGTGAGTTGGTATCTCTTTTAACCCCAGAATCCCAACAGTGATATTTGTTATTAATTTCATTTCCTAGATTTGGGAAACTAGGTGGTGCCCGAACAACCATTGCATCCAAAGCCAAAGTACAAAGAGGGGGCTCATATCTACCAATAGAGCACAGTTTATTCGGGATAACAAATTGACTATCCTGTCAGCATCAGTCTATTTCTATGAAACCTATCAAATAAATAATTACTGCATGGTTCATAATTATTAACTTCAACAATAAATACTGATTGGATCACAGTAAATACTGATCTTGTGACATTTGCCAACATGTTTGCTAGCTAACTTTTGTTATTGAACATGAAAGTTGAAAACTATATTTTCTGTCATATTTGAGAAACTATGTCTTGACCTCTTGATACAAGATGCATGTACAAATATGCGCTAACTAAAAAAGTACTGTCCATATTAACACCAGATTTTCATAAAAGGTTACTTATTTGACAACGGTACAGTGCTTTGTGTGTTTATAAAATTGATGTAGGAGCTACAAGCAAAAAACACCATTGAAAGGTTTTTTTCTTGGAGGGGTTGAAATGTGAGTGTTGATGATTCTATTACTAAAAGCAAAAAACAAAACAATTTCTTGCAGTTGCAAGGCGGCATTATTTTGTCTGCAATACAATCGCATCCAGTCACTTGCAGTTTCAAGACCCCTATTTCCTCGATTCAAGCGAGTAAAATATTGTCACATTCCTAACCTATAATTTTGGTTTTGATTTTTTATCCTTCAGAATACGTGGTTTTAATATCCAAGTACTAGTTATAATCGCCGATAATCCAACATCAGAGCATAAGCAAACGAATATCTGTAAACAAATATAACCACACAAACCACCGAAATGGCCTAGGACATTTGCATGCATTGGTAACTTGTAATACTATTTCCACCAGAATTGCAGAGTTACTTGCATGAAAAATCCAACTGATGATTAAATAAAATTATATCAGATAATGGTTATGTCACGCTGAAAACGTCCACTCTCGTCTGATTGCCGAAAGTTCGCAGCGCTGGAAAATCTCGTGCATTAACCTTTTTGATTTTGTGATCATATCTACAGTCTTTTTCACGAGTATCCATTAGGGTAAAATGGCAGCCAATTATCTAGTAATATTTTAAAATTCCCTATATCCCTAAGGGGCACATAATTCTGACGGATCCGTCAATGTCAGGTAGACAGAGCCATATTTTGTTTTGATTTATTGTATACTACAGATTCACTTTGTACTTGCTAAAAGCTCTTTTATTTAGAAAAATTAATTTGCATACATAAAACAAAACGCTACAAACAAGTTTTACTAGATTTACACGACATTCATTATTGCCAAAGTTGCAGACTTACAAAAATGTCACCTGCTGATCAGCTGTTTACCTCAGTAGACGTCAAAGCGTGATGGATACTCCTGAAATACGGTATAGCTTGTTTTGTTTTACTTCAAATACCCTAATTTTGCTGTGGTCGCTAACAAGAAAACTGGTTTAAGAGTCCAATTTTTACGCCAGACTACTTGTAATCGTCCAAGACGGACTGTGATTGTGCTGCCAAGTGTGCCAAGAGCATATTGTCGTAGTTGTTAAGGAGATTTGGTTCTGTTTATAGTGATATGAATGAATTAAATGTAACTAGAGGCGTTCCGGCAATCAGGAGGTGTCTCTACAATCTCTGTCTCATGCCTGCACTTCTGGCGAAGCTGAGTATGGCCGTGGGTTCCAGCTCATTGACATTATGGAGATTCAAAATGTTGGACCCTAGTATAGTCTGTCTGTAGTAATTCAGAGCCTCGCAGCGACAAAGAACATATGCCGAAGTCTCCTTTTCTACCCTGCGGCGCGCACAGATGGGATCCTCGGCCACCCCCATGTGGCGTCTCAATGTGTTGTGGCCAAATAGCAATTCTACCAGCAATCTTAGGTTGTATATAACTAGAGATAATCTAAAACGTCCATCATTAGCTCAAGACCTAAAACGAGCTCCTGCACCTAATGGAGATGTCTAGAGATACGTCTCCACTTCACAGAATATTTTCAGGATATCCACTAACCAGTTAGCCTCCTAACTCTAAGTCACATATCCACTTACCCGTTAGCCTCATAATTCTGATAGCGCTCTCGCGAGTTCTTCCACCATATCATTTCCAAATGCCCCAGCGTATTCCAGTGTACATCCAGAGCCTCCTCACTTGTAACACAAGGCTCCAAGTAACTTTGCAGGCACTTAGTGCCTTGATTGCGGAGCAGATATTCTTCTCCTACGCCCATCCCACTATGGTGTTATAATGTACATAGACAGGCACTGCAGCTGCTATAAGGAGCTCAAAGACACCTGCTTAATCTGTGAACTGCCCAAGGTTTACAGAATTGGAAAAGGCCTCATCAACAGAGTGTTCCACAATATCGACACTCCACGAACAAAGGAGCGGTCCTACCGGCCTGGCGGATCCGTCTGACAGGCTTATCGCATCGTGATACCATAGCGGAGATCTCTGAGGAGCAAAGCCCGTTGATACAACGGTACAAGGGTGCCAGACCGCTGATGTCCGTCGATGCGAAAGGGTTCTTAGACTGTCCATTAGAGAAGGGTCATCGATCACTCGGACAGTACCGAGTCCGCGAGGCAGCACCCTAAATGTGAGCAGTACTTGAGACTGGGTCTTATCTGGGCCTCGTACAGAGTAACGAGGTGTTGTGGAGAAAAGTACTTCTCGGCCGTAAACAAATAATTATCTTTTTTCTCAGTAGCTGATGTGTTCCTGCCAAATCAAGTCCTCAGAGTGATCTGTACTCCGACCAGCCGAAACGAATGGCTCTTTGGCAGAACACGGTGATCCATCGCAACCGGATGAGCATTATGGAAATTCTTGTTAGTCAAGGTACAGTACTGTGTGTCTTGGAAGCATGATACTGTACCAGATTGTTGCGTCTCCAAGCAGTTAGTTTTCATATCTCTCGTCAGGGAGGAGGTCTCTACGAGTCTCCGTCTCTCGCGGTCATCAGCAGAGATTTGCCTGCAACACTGAATACCTACGTGTAGAGTGCTGTCATGAGCAAAGCTGTGAATCGGATTAATCATACAGGAAAGGAGATCGTTGATATGTGATAGAAAACTGATGAAGAAAGGTATATTCAAGGTGCTGTGATAGTGAGGTGATTTTGACATCAGTTGATTAAACTAAAGAAAAATGTGAGGTGTTTTTGACAACAATTAACAGAAAAAAATAATTTTGATTGATTAAATAGAAAGTTGGTGGAAAAATTCTCAAGTTAGTAGTTCTGATTGAATTTCAAAAATCACATTACCATCACTTTTTGTGTTACAGAGCAGTTTCAACTATGATCCAAGTTTATCGTGGTAATTATGGAATATCAGAGTATGTAATAGCAGGTAGTACAACAGGTGCTCTCTACAAGTTCAATATGGGGCCCAGAGGATGGATTGTAGGTGCAGGTGTTGGTAATTTCATTTATATATTTCTTTTAAAGCTCAAGTCAAAGAGTAGTTATATCAAGAGAAGACACTTGGTGGAATGTTTTTATATTCCGCCGGTCAGCCCCGTTGACGTAGGGAGTCTTCTGCATTATAGTAGTATAGTAGAGTCTACTGCTTAGCGTCAAACAGCGTCAGATGTGACTAGTTTTTAACATTGCGTATCAGTACGCGATGTAACCAAACCCCAAAACTTTGCAGGTGGCTCTTGGGCTAATACTTTCGTACAAATAAAAACAGCGACCTATGTGCGGACCGTTCTGGCGATTCGCTCATATATGGATCTTCATAAACGAAGGCTGTATTGACAAACTGTCATAAAATGTGTAGAATACGCTATATACATACTGAGCTGAATGGAGTTCATTTCTGTTCTTTTGGTGGTTACATCAAAAAGTCATACAAAATAAGTATTAAACATATCGTCTTAGGGCCAGGCTGTTTATATAACTGGCAATCTTATCTATTAGACCGACGATTAAACAAATAAGCAATTTGAGGTTAGAACACTTTTGAAATCCAAGCTGACGTTCCTCTTTTGTAACAAAACTAAATCTTGTAAGGTCCTGAATTTCTTACAGCTAGGTATGTGATAACTTACAGCAAATTTTGAATATAACTTCTCTGCCGAAAAGTGTGGTTTCTAACTTTATTAAATGAAAAATATGTTTCATAGGCTGAGAACGGATGATTATCTCCACCATAAATAAATGTCGAAACATTCCAAACAAAGGTAAATTTGAACAAAGAATGCGTTCACAAGTGATGGTCAATGGATTCATCCAAAAAGGATTATTTGTTTGGCAACCCCGCATTTATCTCCGACTAAATAACAGCACGTGTTTAGACGACATCAGCTGTTTTGTGAAGGTCATGTTTTTGGAGCCATCTTTTATCTCTCTCTAATCTTATTCACCTTGCCTAACTGTCTTCTGTTTATATAAGTACTCTTTGCCCAAGTATTATCAGGTTGTCTATTCGAAATGCCAAAAATATTCCACAATATTCCATAGTGATTATTTTACTGAAGAGCCATGAGCACGATACAGGGGATTTTAAAACCAGTAAAATATTCTGAAAATTTATTGAGACAAATTTTTATTCTGATGGGTGCACCATTATTAAACTCCTCGATCTTTTAAAAGGTTAAAACTAATATTTTTTAGGAGAAAAATGGACTGTTATGGGACATAACATATATGGGTACACCAGGTTTAGTGGGAAAACATTTGATTCAACAACAAAGAATATGAAAATGGGTTATTGGTTTTTCGGAAATAAATCCAGTATTTACATGAATGAAAAAACTCTTCATATAAGATTTGTAGACCCTTGAGAAACCTACTCATTGAAACAACACTAAAAGTTGGAGCCCCTAATTATAAATGGCAAGATTTTCAAACGAGGTTTCATATAAGAATATATTGTTCCAACCTTGAGTCTCCGTATCGTACTAGAACCGTTCGGTTATCGTTTGGTACTCTTTTATACGCATGCGCTAACTGGCCACGAGCCATGGTTCCAGAATTGTTTCTAAGACTGGAAGGTGGTTGCAACGATTTTAGAATCTTTTTTGTCTGATCTACCAATTTTTTGGCATTAGTATGTATATATTTGCCCGTTGTTGACTTTCCTGTATTTTTCCTTTGATAAAAATGGTTGTTCTAAATGTTATAGTTTAAAGTGTAAAATGGATACAAGTAACAGTTGCATTGGTAAGTTTTCCCTTCGAGATCATTTTTCTGTACAAACTTTTGCAGCATATATACATAGGGTTTTGGTCAATGGTATGGGGTTGTCCAAAACGGACGCAGGAAAGTAAACGCATATTAAAACAAGAAAGATTGATATTCAAATCAAGTTGGGTACTTTATTTTGAAGGTTCATTTATAGCATTTATGTATGAAAAATAATGTCGCTCAAATGTTCACCACGACTGGATTTACAGACATCCACGCGATGGTCGAAATTTTCAATGACATTTTGCAACATGGTCGGTTCTATGGCATTTATCTCGGCAAAGATGTTTTTGAGTTCTTGGAGGGTGGCTGGTTTGTTGACGTAGACTTTACTTTTCAAATATCCCCATAAAAAGAAGTCCAATTGAGTCAAATCGCACGATCTTGGTGGCCATGGCACATTTCCTCTGCGCGAAATCACGCGATCACCGAAGAAGGACTGCAATCGATGAATATTGACGTTGGTTGTGTGGCATGTTGCACCGTCTTGTTGGAAATAAATAGCGTCCGTATCCTTCCCTTCAAGTTGCGGCAAAAAATAGTCCTCTTATCATTAAGTGATATCGCTCAGAATTGACGGTAACGGCGTCCCCGGCCGCATTTTCGAAAAAGTAAGGTCCGATGATGCCTTTTGACCACAATGCACACCACACAGTCACTTTTTGAGGATGCATCGACTACTCTTGATACTCACGGGGATTTTCGTTCTCCCAGATGCGGCAGTTTTGCTTGTTTACCGTCCCGTTCAAAGTGAAATGCGCTTCGTCGCTGAACATGATTTTTGATGAAAAATTGGCATCAATTTGGCGGTGTTCAAGGAGCCAATCTGAGAACGTTCGGCGCGAAAAATGGTCGGCCCGACGCAGCTCTTGCGTCAATTGGATCTTGTAGGCGTGTACATTCAAATCCTTGTGGAGAATGCGGAGCAAACTGGTTCTCGAAATGCCCAATTCTTGGGATCGACGCGTTGTTGATTGTTTCGGATCGTCTCTCACACTCTCCTTCACAACAGCAATATTTCCGGTGTGCAAACGCTCCTTGGCCGGCCAGAGCCTGGCAGATTTGCCACAGAACACGTTGCCTCAAATTTTTGCACCAGACGACCGATGGTTGTTTCGTTTGGGCGGTTGTTGCGACCGAAATGTTCACGAAGCGCGCGAAACGTGTTTTTTATTTTTGCACCATTTTTGTAGTGCTCTTGAATAACTTTAATGCGGTCTTCAATCCAATACGACTCCATAGCGATCAATGGTAAACATTCAACTAACAAAATGACATGTCGGTGACAGAAAACAAAGATGGCGTCTATGTCAAATTGACGTTTACTTTCCTGCGTCCCTATTGGACAACCCTCTATAATATGTGAACCACAATACAAATAATTGTTGAATATTTCTAGATCTGCAAGTATTCCTAGTATTCAGTCAAGATTATAGTAATCCTAGACCGTCGCAGGCTCAGGATTCACGAAAGTTAGACCATAGATGGATTGACAATGAACTAAAATCTGTACAAACTATATGGGAAAAAAGTTGGAAGTATGGAAATGAAAAGCAAAAAATTGTTATGGGCCAAAATTGCGGAGGAATTATGGAAAAACAACATAGAGTTCACATCCAATCATTGCATGAATCGGTGGAATGTTCTGCAAATAAGTTACAAAAAATTCATTGATAAACAGAATAAAACAGGTAGCTTAATAATGCTATGCCTCAACAACAACAACAAAAAACTGTATGTTTCTAAAAAATGGCACGGTAGCATTTTTTCAGTGATATGCTGTTTTGGAATAAATAAGCTGTACTGGCCACCTTGGGTTTAGTAGAGTTCAAAATAGTATTTTAAATTGTTCTGAGAAAAAGGCTGCCAAGATGACTGAAGGTTCAGCAAACTTTCATTTCTTCATCTGTGGTTTCATTGGGGCTGCAAACATTACATCAAGTGCTTTTATATAGTTTAAATATTGGAAAACATTTTTTCTTTTGTAGGCTAGAGACAAGATCCTCTCTGGCCAGTTCTGGTCACGCTGAGAACTTCAGGCAGATGACATACATATTTTCACTATGAAACAGAAGTGAATGAAATTATTAAAAAAAAAGAATGTTCACCCAGAGCTTCTCTCAGCCGAGACAATTAGGAGCCAGCAAGTAGCTTATTATGTGAACAGAATGAAGCAGTTGTACAATACAAAGAAAATATGAAGAAACAGGAAACAAGAGAAGATATCCTCAATAAAAAACAAGCTGACAACCTTAGAAAAAATGAGGTGTGTGACAGAAAAGAGTACTAAGAAGAAAAACTTAAATTAGAGAAAGAAAGGCTTGTGGAAATAAAAAAACACAACACTTTGCTAGAACAAAGGCATATAGTATATTCTTGAGTGAACAGAATTGTAATTTAAAAGAAAAAAATGTCAACATAATGTGCAATCCAGATATATATATATATATATATATAAAAATGTATCCCTATTTCCCGTGGTCACGCCATAACTTGAGAACGACTTGACCAGAAAAGAAAAATCAAGAAAATTGCTCAGAAAATTAGGAAATCATTGAAATCCTGATGATTATTTGAGCTACTATCGTTTGACAGTTCGCTTGAGCATGTAACACAAACAGCAGAAGAAATATCTCTAGTACCAAAAGAGACACGTACCCCTCTCTGTCATCTTTATTCCAACAGCTATTGACAGTTAGCTATGTGAAAGAAAATTGCTGATGAAAACATGGTGCTTTCATTTTTGGACTTTCATTTCTTTACCATATGTATGGATAAAAATGGGATGAAAATACGTTTCTTGACGTGACTTTCTCTACTCTAATCATTTGGAACTTGACAGCTCGGACGCCGCAAATCTATATTATCGTTTAACAGTGTTTATCGATGAAAAAATATTTCTTTATTTAATTAGTAGTGCACAGTCCGCATTAGAGCTTTTATCCAGTTTTCAGTTTGTCCGATTCTTCATTGAAAACATTGTCTTCTAGAGCTACGTTGTGGAGAACACATTCAGCACGGATCATGTGGACAACAGTTTTTATATTTTTCCGTTTTACATGATATAACTGCCTGAATTTCTGTTGCAGTTACCCAAATCAGTGCTCAATCACATATCTGTTTTTTGATGTTGAAATTTAGCTGTCTTCGAGTTGAATTCCCTCTATCTTTATAAGTGGTGATTAAATTGTTTTCTAGAAGGCTATCAGCCAATATGAGATATCTTCCACATTTGTCATGTAAGCTGTTCTTTAGAGGTGAATTTCTATACACTCTACTATCTAGAACAAATCCTGGGTAACCAATAAAAACGTCCAGTATTTTACAATTATCACACACTGCTTGCATCTAAAATATTGGAAACATGATAAGGTTCTCTATTGATTGTCTTTACCTCCACAAATATAGACCTACCTGAATTTAATGGTACCCTTTACGATTTACATAGGATTCAATCATTATGGGGTTTATCAATTTTAAGATGTGTCCCATCTATTTCTCCAATAACATTTGGAAATCCATTTTGAAATGGTTCTCAATAACTTGTTTCTCATAATTTGTTAGTCACTTTATTATCTGTGGGGATAGGTTGCTGAGAAACTATGTCAATCTTGTTATAATTCTACTCGGAAAACTTATGATATTAAAACGATCAGCAACATCTCTGAGACTTGCAGTGTGGATGTAAAGTACTATTGACTACAGTATTAAGTTGCTCATTTCTAAAATGAAATTATGTAGATCTTAACTTACTTAATAAGCATTGCTTTGTTGAGGTTGATGATGAAGGTATGAGCTTTCCTCATATTTCACACTGATGCTATTGATGGTTGTTCTCGAGAGCCTGAAGTGCTTAATAAATGCGTCATCCGAGTATTGTGTGAGTATTTTTGGTGATGTATAAAGAAAATTTTGCTTGACAATATACGATTACTGAAAATACATAACTATACTGAGTGACAAAAAAAGGTATACACCTACGTATGTTTAACCGATTTTAATAATTTTTGGCATATATAGTAATGGACAAAAGTATATAGACAAATATGAATATTTACCCAAATACCTTTAGAAAACGAATTCATACTTCATTGCTCCATAAACAAATGCGTTATTAGTAGAAAAGCTAAATTCCTTGTTTTTGCATTATCTGCAATGAACACAATACAAGTCTGAATATAAGCACTATTTTATGAGGGACAAAGATATGTAGACAAATTATTTTCAACATTAGTTTAGTACAGAAGGGGATTAGTTTGTGTTCATCAAGTATTGTGGAATAAGTTGAGTGATTTTAAGACCATGCCGCGTGGTCCATAAATTTCTTTCGATGTGAAAACTAAGATCATTGAGTTATACAAAGATGGTCAACGTCAAGTCGACATTGCCAAAAATTTGAAGCTGAAGCGTAAAGCAGTTTGGGCAATATTGAACAAATATACACAAAAAGGTATCTTGGAAACCTCTAAAAGAAGTGGTCGGCCTAGAAAACTAAATGCTAGATCAGTTAGATTAATAAAAGTAATTTCGTCCAAAGATCCGTTTAAAACCCCAAGACAAAAGCCGAAATCGAGACAAAATTAATTGTCAGTTTTTCTACGAAAACTATAAGTAGACGATTAAATAATTTGAAGTTATTTGCACGTCGCCCGAGTAAGAAGCCGCTAATCTCGAGGAAAAACCGTAAAGACCGATTACAATTTGTACGGTTGCATCTTGATTGGAGCATCTGTGACTTGAAGAGGGTATGTTTCAGTGACGAATCCAAGTTCAATATGTTTGGATCAGATGGTGTTCATTACGTTAGACAAAGATTGAACCCCAATCACACTTTGCCCACTGTCATACATGGAGGCTGGTCTGGTATGGTTTAGGGGTGATTTTTGGGGTTTGGGATGGGACCTTTACATAGAATAGATGGCATTATGGATAAGTTTGTATACACACACATACTAAAGCATGTCACTTTATCCTATATGGAAGACAATATGCCCTTAAGATCAATCTTCCAGCAAGACAATGACCCGAAGCACACTTTAAAGAAGAAGAAATTCTTTCTGGATGAAAAAATATCAGTTCTCCCCATTGAAAATCTATGAGAATACTTAGATAAGCAAATACGAGATAAAAATTATTCAAACAAGGATGAACTTTTTGCCGCTTTAGAGCAAAAGTGGAGACAGATTGATGAATCTTATATCAAGAAACTTCTACAATCCATGCCGAGACGATGCCAGGCGGTGATTGATAATAATGTGGTTATGCTACAAAATATTAACACAAACATGGTTGGTTTTCTATAATTCAATGAACTTTGCTTATTTTTTCTATAATTGTTTTGCTTTGCCTATATATTTTTGTCCTTCATAGTTCCAGTTTTTTTCAATTAATTTTTTTATTGAAGGGAGTCTAATGAATTTATTTATGTATAAGTGAGTATTATAACGAATTATGTATACAGGTTGGTGTATTGATAAAACAAGTTAAAAAAGAAATACAGCACAGTATTAATTTGTCTATATACTTTTTTCCATTACTGTATGTTCGGTGTCGCTTACTAGTAAAATGATTAAATTTTCAGCTTGATTCGTCAACTGACTGCAGACGCTGGTTCAATAATGTGTTGAGGATCCACGATTTCTTATACACTCATTGACACGCCGGCATCGTGTTGATAAGGTGATCGATATCCTGTTGGGGTATCTCATTCCAGGATACTGCAACTTCGTGAGTAACAGCTGCTAAAGTCTGTGGAGGGTGTTGCAAATCCAAGAGCCGGCGACCTATCATGTCCTAGACATGTTCAATTGGAGATAGATCAGGCGAATCGTGGTGGCCAAGGTAAACGGTTGATGCGATGTTGATCCATGAAGGCTAACGATGCTCTGGCAACATGCGGTCTTGTATTGTCTTGCTGAAAAATCGTGTTTTGGATGGTGTTTATGATGGAATAAGATGAAGCTCCACTACTTCCTGAATATAGCGTCGGGCTGCGACAGTAGTGCCTTTGATGAAAATTGGTGGTGATCTGCTACCATAAGCAATAGCACCCCGTACCATAACTTCCACGGTGTGGTGAACGTGACGCTCTCTGTCAAATTGTGGGTCACGTCTTTCACCTCGTCGCCTTCTCACTGTTGCCCGACCATCGTGCATCCCCAGACAAAAGCGGGGTTCGTCACTAAAGACCACCTGATTTCATTCCCGGTCCCATAGAATTCTTTCTCTACACCAGAGCAAACGGTTACGCCGATGTTCAGCTGTGAGAGGTAGCATCCAATGTGGGCGATAAGAAAAAAGGCCAAACTGCTGTATTCGGCGATATACCGTACGAATACCAACCATCCTTCCATGCTCTTCAAACCACTGATTAGCGATGGCTCGAGTCCTACTGAATCTGTCTCTCAGAGCCAGAAAACCTGACCATTTTATCACTTGTTGTTCATGGCAAGATAAGTCGATATGTAAAAAATTCTTGAATTCTAATAAACATACGGAGGTGTTTACCTTTTTTGTCACTCAGTAGATTTACGAAATAGGTAAAAATATACGTACTTAGGTAATTCTCACTCTTAATTCGAGGTTGACATACAAATTCGAATCTGAAATTAAATCGAAATCGCTATCCCCTTCGTCACTACTCCTCGCAGCGAAAGCTGGACAATATCAATAAATTATCTTCAAATAAAAAATGCACTGGCTAACAAGGTTAGAGACAATTACATGACAACATCTCTACGGCGCATGTCAGTTTCTTCAAGTCCCATTTCAATGCAGGTACCAAGTTTACGATAACGAAGACTGTTGGAACAGTTTTTCCCTAAATGCGCATCACCGTTCTCCGACGGGTTGGAACATACCTCCCAGAAGAGCAGATCATAAACAGTTTTTTCTTTTTTTTTTAAGGATCAGTTTTGGGATTAGCTTGTGGCTGTGCCACTGTAGGGCTACTCAAACTAGCTGGCATGTCAATAGAAGATGCAAGGTATTGGCAGTATCAATGGAAACGAGGAAGAATGGAATATTTAAGGAAAGGAATAGAAGAGCATCTAGATCAGGATGAGTTTGCTGTTATAAAACTACATGATGTTGAAGTAGGCGAGGCTGGAAAAGATATAGAAAACCTAGATAGAGTTCCTAAAAAAGAAGATGATAAATAGTAGGTCATGTAGTTGTTGTATATAATATCGAATAAAAGGTTTGTAATGCATTACCTTTCAATTCAGTACTTCAGATGGCTGCGACATTTCCATATATACGATGACCGGAACATAAATGATAAGGCTGTGGAAGAATTTCGCTTGTTCCATTGTTGTTCTTGGTTTTTCACTGAATGATATAAAGCATACAGGATAGGGCTATGTCTAGATTAACACGTCAGGCAAATGTCATTTTCACCCTGTAGGCCTTACCCGCTCATTTGTTAAAAATTTTCATGACCATTTCTACATAAATTAATATTCTTATCATATGAGACAAAAATACCCCTGGTTTGCGAAATAATTGAAGCCTTTGGTGCAAAAATGTATTAACTCAGATTTTATAATTTGGAGACAACTGGCTTGACATTTTTTATTGAATAGTGTTAGGGCTGCTTTTATTATCGAAGGCTATTTTAGACACATATAAAAGTCTCGGAATACAGTTTTTTTAAAAAAATAGTTTTTATTATCAAAAATTTGATTTTATGTGTGCTTAGCAATTTAAAATAAAACTTATTTTTACATCTTAAACGAAAACTGAATTCATTTTGTTATATAATCTTACAAGATAATAAAATACTAAAACTTCACAAACATACCTTATCCATTTAAAAACCATTCCAAATGTTGTAAAACTCAGAAAAACAAAACTTCTCACGAAACGTGAAATTTGAGTGCAAAAAGGTGTTAACACCTTTTTACCTATAGTGCAAGATTTAACACCTTTTAAAATTTACAGATTGACGTTTTTGATATGAACCCCTGTATCTAAGAACTGAGAGCCATCTTTGGCCGGATAGATGTACTCTACCAAAAAAACACCCTTTTGCACTAAAGTCTTCAATTGTAAAGTTTGGTTTTAATAATGCACCGATTTTTGTGTGAAAACTTTTTATTCATCAACAAAGAATGAGAAAACGTTTTTTGGATTCAATCAAAAGTATTGGCAGGAACGAAAAAACTTCAAACAAGATTTTTAAGCATTTACGAGACCTACAAAATGAGACTACACTTAAAAAGATTCGACTAATAGCAAAAAAGTTATGGCCGAAAACTTAGTCAAAATACAGGTTTTGGCACTTGATGGTAATGCGACTACAATTTCACGTAGATACTTCATATTCTTCAAATCCGTCGGCTTCATACTTCTAAATAACCACAACTAAATTTGAGTAGATTGGTCAAGTAGTTTTTGAGAATTTCTAATTGCTTATCCCAAAACACCTGTTTTCCGGCCATCTAGTTTAATGAGCAATATACAGGGTTCATTTAAAGGACATTTTATAGCAAAATACACGAGTTTACCTTGCCGATATTAATCACAAACCATTCAGAAAGATAAATGTTATTTTTATGCGAAAAACAAATGGTTACGGTTTTTTCAACAAATTCAAATATTTTGTATTTGTACATACGTTACTATACACATTTTAAAATAAAGCGGATGTATTTATCACCTTTTGTTGCGAACAAAAAATCTTTTTTCAAGATTTCTTCATACTCTCATGTCTAATAGATGAGCCTTGAAGTTTACAAAAAAAATATTTCATACTGAAATTCACTGAACTGTTTATTAAGTTAGCACACAAACTGAAGACACAATTATGTTTCAAACTGTTTTAGCCTAGTTAGTATGTAGCATGTGCTAAATGGCTACATTATTGTTGACTGCATGACTTCGTCAAATAAATAGATCACGTAATCCAGTTTCTTTAAGAAGAAATATAATTCCCTGGACCTTTTTCTAAAAGTACTAATATCGTATACGTTTGTTTTCGAAATCTCGTACGATTAAAACGACTGCTAGATCAAAATGTTGGAAACTAAGCTCTAAAAATCAGTAGACAAATATCAAGCAAGAACTGACAGACTAGAAAATTAGGCAAAATGCTCGATATTAGTCAATAATACATTATTTAAAGTTTCAACATTATATCTTGTATAGTTTTCGAGATCAGTCTACTAATTGTTTTAAGTAGCTCCAACGTCCGGTTAACATTCGTCAGTGTCAAGAATAGTGGTGAAAAGATCCATTAAACTAAGAGGCATCGTAGTGTAGTAGAAATAAGTAACGATTTTAAAACCGCAGGACGGAGGTTTATATCCGCAAAGCTCCCTTTTTTCTATTGATTTTAAATTTGATGAAATAAATGCTTTCTCACATTACATGTACTTTTATTGTGATCAAACAGCTTTTCGCATGCCATAGACAAATTAAAGCTTGTAAACTTAAAGAATAAGCATTCTGTAATTTTATTCATGTCTTCAAAGAATTTATTAAGCAGAATCTTGTACAACAATAGGGAGACACTGTTATTTTCAATAAAATGCAATTGCTGACAGATCAATTTAGATATTGTAACAGAAATGTGTCCATGCTTCGAGTATGACGCGGATGGTTATTTTTCATTGGTGCATTATATGATCATGGTCGCTAATTTAGTATAGGGACGCACACTAAAAAAAAACTTTTTGTAGCTAAACCAAGTGATTTATGACGTGTTTCAGAGACATTTTACAAGAAATCGACCATTCATTAAATCTAGTTCAAAAAATCCTTCTCATGGGTTGAATTTGTGACCCAGCTTGGTAAATCGGGTCTTAATGCACCAAATACGTTACCCTCGTTATGGTATACATTAAAGAATCTAAAATACATACGATTTGGCTCGACAAGCATAGGGGTTATCGACGTGAAAGCCACAGGAAAGTGTCAGATGCCACATTACCCAATTATGATTTTCTACTATATCACATAGTGGTCTATCTGAGCCATTTCTCTAAAGTGGCCAATGAATGAAACCACATATTATGATAAATACATGAGCTTTGCTTCCATCCATTGGCCACTTAAGAGGCATGGCTCGCATGTCCTTTGTTTCGCATTTGTTGTATTACCCTTTTTTTTGAGGCTTCTGAATAATATTAGGTGCGCAGCTTGAAGGACGGTAGTAATATCGTCTATTCCATATATATGACTTAGTATCCACAAAGAATCGTTAAAAGGAATTTGAATTACAAGTTTTTGAGTAAACTGGAATAATCGTTGATTTAGCGGTCACGTAAGGCGGTGGGTTTTTGGGCAAATCAAATTGCCCGAACAACCTTTTTCTTTTAAAAGTAATGTTACTTTTTCCGCAATGAGGATGATGCTATTTTAGATAGACTCTACGCTTTTTTCAAACGACAGCTAGATGATGTTGAACGGCGCTAGCATTTCTTTTGTTAAAATAACTACTTTCCGTATACACATTGAGACACTATATAAGCATGATTTCGTATTAAAAAAATTGATCCTAATAATTTATTTAAAGTATTTCATTCCAACTGTTGAAGCCTAACAAAATATTACTGAAATGGCATTGCTTTGAAAATGGAGATTACCTTTCCTTATGCTTAATACAAACTATGAAAAAAATGCCTACTCTGTTGATGAAATGAGAATCTACGCTCAACAGTAACTTGATAAATATAAAAATTGTGAGTTAGCCCACTTAATTTTATAAGCATTTTTTTGCGGCTCCAATAGGTACCTAATTTTACCTCATACCGAAAAGTTGGGCGTATTATCACAAAAAAATTTCTGTCTTTCATTATTGTTGGTTAATAAATAATTTACACACTTAAGATATGTGTTTTCAAAAACTATCTGATATGATCCGATATAGTGTTTTTGGAATTTTATAAAGTAATATAAAAAAATTCAAAGAATCATATGTATACCTCTGTTTTCCTGTTTGCAAACCTACATTGCCTATGGCGTGCGAAAAGCTGTTTGCTCACAATAAAAGTAGACGTAATGTGAAAAACCATTTATTTCACCAGATTTAAAATTAAGAGTAAAGATGGGAGCTTTGTGGATTCGAACCTCCGACGTGCGGTTTTGCAATCGTTACTCCTGTTTGGTACACTACGACGCCTCTTGGTTTAATGGACCTGTATACCACTATACTTGACACTGATAAATAATGTCAAGCGAACGTTAGCGGCACTTAAAATATGTTATAAACAATTAGTAGAATGATCTCGAAAACTATACAAGATATATTTTTTTTTATACCGAAGCAGCCGCGCAGGCAAAGCCTAAATGCCCGCGCACCGCGGCTGCTATGATGATCCCAAAGAAATTTTGTTAATCCGATTTTTGATATGCCATAGGTTAATATAACTGGGAAAAGCTTCCTCTTGAAGATTGTTCCACAATCTCGACACAAGGAGCGGTCGTATCGGCCAGTTCTGGATGTACGAAGCTCGACACGGTTAAGATGGGAGGCCAAAGTCAGCCGGGTCTGCCTGGCAGGCACATCGCGCGGCGACATCATGGAAGAGAGCTCTGAGTAGCAAAGCCCGTTGTTATAGCGGTAGAACAGAGCTAGATCGCCGACGGCCCGTCAGTGCGAAAGGGTCCCGAGCCTGTCTGTTAGAGAAGAATCATCGATTAGTCGGACAGCCCTCCTCTGGACAGCATGGAGCATAAATAATGTAGTCGGGGCGACAACACCCCAAACGTGTGATCAATACTTGAGGCTAGGCCTTGTATAGAGTAAGGTCATGCGGAGAAAAGTACTTCTTATCCCTAATGAATGAATCTTGAAATTAGAGGCATTCCGGCCACCATAAGGACCCAGTGCATAGGCCGCTTAAGCGGGCCCTTATGCACCTCTACAATCCTTAGATCACAAGCCTCGCCCTTTTAGCTAAGTTGAGAATTGCCTTGAGTCCAAGCTCCTTGACGTCCTGAGGGTCCAAAGTAATTGACCCCAGTATAGTTCAGAGCTTCACAGCGACACAAAACGAGCGCCGAGGTCTCTTCCTCTACCCCGCAGCGTTCACACAAGGGATCCTCAGCCACCCCCATCACGTGCAGGTGACGCCTTAACGTGTTATGGCCAGACAACAGTCCCACCAGCAACCTTAGGTTGGCTCTATCCAGAGATAGGCAGAAACGTTCATCCTTAGCACTGGGCCCTTCAATGAGTTCCCGTGCCTGGCGGAGATTTCTGGTGATACTTCTCCATTTCTGAGAGTGTTGTCTTGCAACCCACGTCTCCATTTTTCTCCTAGCTTTATGCGCGGTCACTCCTAGAGCTGGCTCAGGACCAACGAGCTTGCTGGCTGATCCTGTCTTCGCCAGAGTGTCCGCCGTCTCATTGCCCCTTATCCCAGCGTGCCCCGGTACCCATATTAACGATACCGGATGCCTCGCTGCGAGGCAATCCAGAGCCTTCCTGCATTGCAATACAAGACTCGAAGTAATCTTACAGGCACTTAGTGCTTTCATTGCAGCCTGGCTGTCGGATAAGATTATTATTCTTCTCCTAGGCCCACCCTCCTCCAGAATGTGATACACAAGCCAGAATCGCAAAGCTTCCGCCTGGAAAATAGTTGTGTATCCACCGAGAGGCAGAGATAGCCTAGTTCTAGGCCCAGAGACCCCAGCACCTGGGCCCTCTTCGGTGACCGAGCCGTCCGTGTACCAGACCTGCCCGCTCACTCCGGAGAGTCCCCGGCTACCGGCGTCCCACTCCTCCCTCGTTGGATACTCCACAATAAACTTGCGGTTGAAGCGATATTTAGGGGTAATACGATCACCCCTGCTTAGAAGGACGGGGTCCTCCCTTTGCAATTCGACTAAGATGGCAGTATGCCCCTTGACAGGATTCAAGAAAGCCCAGCTGCCCTGACTCCACAGTCGATGAGCGACTAGTCTCGCTTTACCGCGGAGCACCAGATCCAACGGTGGGAGATCCAACAGAGCTTCCATTGCACTCAATGGCGTTGTTCGCACTGCGCTTGTAATACTAATACAGGCCAAACGCTGAAGTTTGGCCTTAGTTGTCTCAGTTATAATTCAAGGCCACCAGACCAGGGAGCCGTACAAGAGAGATGGACGTACTATCGTCGTGTAAAGCCAGTATACCACTTTGGGTTTAAGCCCCCACCTTACACCGACAACACGTCTACAGGCACACATCGAATTGTGAGCCTTGCTAACCTTGTATTCAACATGCTCTCTCCAGTTCAGTTTGCAATCCAGGATAATTCCCAGATATTTCACCGACTGTGACAAGATTAATCTAGTCACAAAGAAGGTCGGCATGACCAGCCCGTCAAGCCTTCTTCTCCTAGTGAATAGGATCAGCTCGGTCTTTTCAGCATTAACAGAAAGATCGACTTCCCTACACCACGATTCCACAGAGCGCCCTGCATAATTTCCGAGACTGTTCTACAAAAACGTCCCCTAACTACTATGCTTACGTCATCAGCATAGGCTTGTACATAGACACCCATACTGCTGAGCCTAACGAGGAGTTCGTTCACCACGATACACCACAGTAGGGGAGAAAGAACTCCGCCCTAAGGGCAGCCTCTAGCTACGCTCACGCTGCAGCTTACGTCATTCAGTATAGCTGTTGCTACCCGACCCTCCAGAGTAGATAAGACCCAATCTATTAGGATTGATCCAACCCCGTGCCTAACCAAGGCATGTCTGATAGAGTCGGTTGTGGTGCAATTATATGCACCTTCAATGTCCAAAAAGGCCACGTATGCCACTTCTCGCTGATCTAGAGTTTTCTCCAGCCTACCGACCAGATTGTGTAAGGCCAGATCAGTCGATTTTCCAGATTGGTATGCAAACTGATTTGCATGAATGACACACCTTTCCAGCGGGCCATCCCTTAAGTATCTATCAACTATCCTTTCCAGTGTCTTAAGCACAAAAGATGAAAGAGTAATCGGAATCCTTCGGGCCAGTATATCTAGCTCTGCCCGGTTTAGGAATGAATACCACTTTGGCCTGCCGCCAGCTTCTAGGTATGAAGCCCGTGGCCACACATGCTCGAAACACACACTCAACAGGTGAGGAACAACCGAACTCCGATCCTGCTCTAATATGGCCGGAAATACGCCGTCCAGACCTGGACTTTTGTATGGAGCAAACGAATCTACTGCCCATACCGTCCTTTCGAAGGTGACAATCTCCCTTGTTGTGCGCCAGTCCTCCCCTGAGGGCCTGCGCAACTGCATGTACTCTGTGATTGATCTTAGCCCTAAACAAATAGCCTATCTTTTTCCCAGCAGCTATCGCTACTGACAAGATGTGTTCGTGCCAGATCAGGTCCTCTGTGATCTGGGCTCCGACCAGCCGAAATGAATGGCTCTTTGGCAGAAGTCGGCCATCCATCGAAACCGGATGAGCGCTAGGACGCTTTTTGTTCGTCAAGGTACAGTACTGTGTTTAGCGCTGAAACTTTAAATAATGAATTAGAGACCAATCGGTTGATATTTGTCTACTTTTTTCGTTTTCTCTAGTTTATTTTCCAACATTCTGAACTTGCAGTCGTTTTAACCGTACAAGATTTCGAAAACAAACGTATATTATACTAATACTTTTAGAAAAAGTTCCAGGGAATTATATTTCTTCGTAAAGAAACTGGATTACGTGAACTATTTATTTGACGAAGTCAGGCAGTCATCAATAATTTAGCCATTTAACACATGCTACATATTAACTAGGGACCAGGTTAAGACAGTCTGAAGCATAATTGTGTCTTCGGTCTGTATGCTAATTTTATAAACAGTTCAGTATATTTCAGTATGAAATATTTTAGTTTATAAACTTAAGGCTCATCTGTGAAATTTCCGCTCTAAATATGTATATACAATCTTCTGCTCCTATCCACTTTCTTTTTGCGGATTTTGTTCATTATTTTTCTATTTGTTATTTATCTTTCTCCGCACGATGCTTTCTTTTTTATAGATTCTTTGGGCTTGAAGTACTACGACAAGTGGTTATAACCGGCCCCGTGGTTGTGGTTAGATGTCTGCCTGGAAACTCGAGGGCTTGTGGTCATTACACTACAAAAGTGTAGGTTGGCTCTTGTTTTGTTCCTCCCCGTCTTCGTTTTCCCAAGTTACAGCCGTAATAGGATGTATGGGCATGTATGTGTGTCTACTTTTGTAGTTGCATAATTGTGGGCATTCACTTCGAATCCACTTTGGGCTTGAAGTACCACAGCAAGTGGCTATCACCGGCCGCGTGGTTGTGGTTAGATGTGGCCTTGAAAACTCGAGGTCTTCTGGTCATTATACTACAAAAGTGTAGGTTGGCTCTTGTAAGTAACTTCGTGTGTTGCTTTGTTCCTCTCCGTCTTCGGTTCCTCAGGTTACACCCTTTCTTCAAAATAGCGATAACTCAAAAACCGTGAATAAACCTCGAATAAGAGCATATGCTTGTTCTATACGCATAGTTCTTTTCACAGTTTTTGGCAGCTACGTCATCAATGCCATACGAAATAGGATAGGATAGGAATAGGAATACTGCACGCTGCTCAAACAGATGTTAAATGCAGACGCTCTTTCAGACAGGAACTGGTTAATAAAGGACCATTGTACCCATTCACTTTCTCAAAATACTCCAATAATTATATCGATATTATTTTATATCACGATAAAAGAAACGCCCATATCAAGTAGACTATCTCACTGACAGTGACAAGCTTAGATTAATACGTTGGCGAGAAAATGTTCGACCTGGCGAGATGAAAGTAAAACACGTAAGTCTGAGCTCACACAAATGTCCGTGTTCAGAGGCCGATTGCATATGTACGCGTGAAGGAGATGGATATATGTAAGTGATGCTGGTAGTTTAAGGTGATGTAAAGAGCGAAACATTTTATGGCTGAATATGTCCTCGTCCGTTACCTTGACCATGGCCTTGAATCTCATTTTGAGGTGTCAATAAAATATCGAAAGAACAAAATATCTCTAAAAATGCATCTACGTTTAAAGGTAAGAAATGATTTTTTTTTTCTTATGCCAAGTTTTTGCTTAGTATCATTGGCAGTACAATCAAATGAAATAACACTGGTTTAAATTCATATTATTGTTCTTGCATAGGCTTCATAAGAAAAAAAGATGAAATATATAGGATGTTTCCAAAACATAGAATATCCCAAGACTATTTTGGCCTTTAATGATTTTTGAAATGCCGTAGAACGGGGTTATTCTAGAAACACGGGGCTATTTAAAAATCATGAATTTTGTTCCAATCGCGCAGCACTGCTTTTTTCTATGAACGCTTTTCGACAACATTGTGCTCAAGCGTGCTCTCTGGACGTTAGTTACGCGATCTCAAATATTCCAATCGCTCTGGAAGCGTTGTAGGGTACAGTAGTACGTTCAAAAATTGATTATAAACAGAGGTAAGTAACTTTTAGGCGGTTAAACTTTCAGTGCTGGAGTCTAGTGGGTAAGGTAGGTTCTTAGAATAAGTTAACACGAGTATTGTTATCACTGGGTGATAAATAGGTTGATATTGAATGTATACACAAAAATTTATCAAGAATTTTTTAAAATGGAGCTATTTTGGATGGTTTTTTAACGTTTTCCACAATCGCCCCGCTGTTCGAAAATAACCCCACTTAAGAAATTACTATAACTTTTTCTAGAAAAAATGGTGAGACACTACAAGAGAAAGTTTAGCCATAGTCAAAACGGGAAAAATTATAACCAATCTAAAACATTTACAGATGAAGCGTTAAATGAAGCAATAAGAGAAGTACAAGCTAAAATTTCAACATTGGATGGTGCCTGCATAAAATATAAAGTCCTCAGATCAACCTTAGCCTTAAGGGGAAAAAGACAGAAAACATTTCCCAAACATGGCAGACCTAATCTTTTATCTACGGAAGAAGAGAATATATTGACTGATCATTTAAATCTTGTGACCTCCTGGGGAGTTTCTCTTTGATCTTTTTGACTTAAGGCTGTTAGTAAAATTATATTTTGAAAACAGGGTATCACTGTATACAGACTAAGCAATAATCTGCCAAGAAAAGACTGGGCTACCAATTTTATTAAAAGACGCAAACATGCAATTTCCAAACGTCTTTCTGCAAACATATCTACCAAAAGAGCAATGATGAGTAGAAAAAAATTCGAGGAATTTTTCGATAATGCCAGAGAACCTTTTACATATGTAGATCCAACATTGATTATAAATTTTGATGAAACAAATTTAACTGATGACCCTGGTGCTAAAAAGTTCCTTTTTTAAGAGGGTCAAAATATCCCGAAAGGGTTGTTAATTCAACAAATACTGCTATAAGTATTATGTATGCTGGTACAGCTGACGGTGAAATTTTGCCAGAATATATTGTCTACAAAGCGGATCACATGTGGGATACTTGGACTCAAAATGGGCCAGTTGGTGCGAGATACAATCGTTCCAGAAGCGGATGGTTCGATTCTAGATGCTTTGAAAATTGTTTTTTCACTGTTATTGTTCCATTTTTAGGGGCAAAAGTGGACCAAAGGTAGTAGTAGCAGACATTTTATCAGTTTTAGCTGTTGTATTAATGATTTTTTTGTTACAGAAATTAGTGGGAGACAATATCTCCTCTCATTTTTCACCTGCAGTATTAAATACTTGCAAAGAAATGGACATCCGTTTTGTATGCCTACCAAGTAATTCAACACATCTTATGCAGCCGTTGGATGTAGCCTTGACGCCTCACTAAAAAAATATTGGCGGGATATTCTCACGAATTGGAAGAAAACGACAGGGCGGAAAATGTCTACCCTATCGAAAGATGTTTTTCCACAACTTTTAAATAAACTTCGTCAGAGACTTGAAGAAAATGGTAAATGTTCTGAGAATTTGAAGTCGGGGTTTCGAAAAACTGGGTTATACCCATTTGATCCTTTATACCCAAGGACGAGATTGCCGCCGGAAGAAAATGCTGAAGAGGAAATACCGTCTCGTATATCTTCCGCTATGATGGATATAGTTAAAGACATGCGCGGTGGGTCAGAAGCTGACATACCAAAGCAAATACGTAAAAGGGCATTAGTTGAACCTGGAAAAAGTGTGACAACAATCAGTTCAAATAATCTTTTAGCCAAAAAAAACATAAGGCGAAGAAAAAGAAACCAATAACTCCTTCTTCATCAGAAGACGAAGATTTATCGATGGAACTTCCATTGAGTAAATATTCGAGACCAGACTCGCCTACATGTGCAAAAAACCCTACCGAAGGAAACAGTAACGTTGATTTAACCACTCAGAAAGAAAAACTCATCAGTACAACCAACTCTTGAAGACTGAGTATTAGTGGAATTCCATATTAGTAACAAACTCGCCACTTTATTGGAAACGTTATTTCAGTATCTCCTGATCTGTTACATTGTGTGATTTCTTAAAAAAATCTAACAAAAGTGACCGCTTTCTAATACCTCCCAAGCAAGATCAAGATGATGTGCCTGAGGTAAAGATTGTTAAAATATTAGAAAGTCTGAAAGTAGAGGGCACAGGACGTAGAATTTTCTATACATTTTCAGACGATCTGTCTGATTTTAATAGTTAGTTTTTAGTAGTCGTGATGACCTGATGTACCAAAGTTTAATAAGTTTGTAGTCATTTGCAAAAATGATAAGTTAAAAATAAGTATTATTTTGATTCCAAGGATTTTTTCGTTGTTTTTTAGAAAATGTATTCCTTTTTTCCATTTTGCTAAATAAAACTTAAAAGAGCTATAATTTGCGTTTTTTTTTTCTTATTTTTCTATTTACGGATGCTCATATATATGTAATATTTGAGCATTAGTAAATAAAATTTTCTTGTTCTAGTTTGTTTAAAATGGCCCCCAATAGTGATATTCTTACCGATTCTAACAGAACCCCGACCGACGGGGCAATTTTGGACAGGTTTTTTTTCGGTCCCCTACACATAAATACGAGACTCTGTAAATGGGAATATTTACCTATCCCTTACACTCTTTCAAAATATTATTTACTTTGATATATGAGGAGCAAAAATTCAAAAGGGATATTATCCAAAAAATTTCATTTTGAGATACAGATGGCGTTACGTGTATTGAATGTACATCTTTATAGTGCAGCGTTCGTATCATTCCAAAGTGATGTTTATCCCTTGTGAATTAGCTGTCGAAATACGTATGTTGAATCAAAAAGAATATTATCCTCAAAATTATATTTTCAAAGGGGGATTTATTTACGTTTGGTTCACATGGATCTTTATCCTGTATGAATAGCATGAAACGTACGAAAATGGTCCAAAAAGGTTTTTATCCATACACGCGTTGCTCCGAGCATTGTTTACTAAGTAGTTTCATGAGCTCGTAGGCGTACAAATCGTTGTTTATGCTTAACATAATGGATTCTGAAGAAGTCCTAGTTAGTGAGGGCAATGAGGGTAGTCGAAAGAGAGGGCGAACTATAAGTAAACGACAGAAAGCTAAGAGCTTAAGGTAAGCTACGAAAGTGAGGTTAGGATACTCTTTACGTATTTGTTTCATTATTTCAGATATCAGGATCATTTTCCAAATATCGAAAACTTCGAGAGACCTTGTACACACAATGGGCCTACATATAATTGCATGAAAATTGCCGAAGGGGTTATTATTGCAACTAGAAAACGTGTTTTCCATACTAATGACAAGGTGAAACAGGACCGCCAAATTTCGTACTTTTGTAAGGTTCATATACCTAGAAGGCGACGCGAAAAATATAAACCAAACTGTAGGGATCAGAAGCATGCCTTATCAGCAGAATACAGGATGAATACGATGAACGGTCCTACATACAGAGTGTGTCAGAAAATGCTTGTAAATTCCTTCAGTATTTCTTTAAAGAGACTGCATACAATTACTAGGTATATCATGTCAGGCAGAGATATCCAGGAAAATAGAGGAGGGGACCACCGTTCAGCAAAAAATCAGTTAAAGATTATTGGAAAACTGAAGGCAAGGGAGAGCCACTATAATAGAAAGAAATCAAAAAGGCTGTATCTACCGGCAGACCTAAACATAACCAGACTCTGGAAAATGTACAACTCGACTACAACTGACAATATGAAGGTCAAATTAAGTTTCTTCTACAATATTTTCCGGAATAATTTTAATATTGGATTTGGTCGCCCTGCATCTGACGTCTGCAGTTTTTGTTTCCGGAAAAAAAAGCAGCTTGCGGATTCCAAGGGTGCTGAGAAAATGAAAGTCATGACGGAATTACGTATTCATAAATTGAGGGCCAAGCAGTTCAACATTTTAATGAAACGGGAGGAACCAAATAGTCAAGTTTTTTGTTTCGATATGCAACAGGTGCAAAATATTCCAAAGTTGCCCATAGGAGAGGCTTATTACTTACGACAGCTGTCATTTTATAATATTTGCATCACTGATTACGGCACCAAACAACCATTTTTTTATACATGGAACGAAACCCAAGGTAAGAGAGGGGCCAATGAAGTAGCTTCTGCTTTGATTAATTTTCTCACTTCGAATGTCTTGCCAGATTGCCAAGTCTTAAGATTGTTTTCGGATGGTTGTGCAGGCCAAAACAAGAATTCGTATGTAATGTACGCATTGGCCGTTTGGTTTACGACTGCAGCACCTACTTCCCTCCAAGAAATTAGAATCACTTTCCCAGTTAGAGGTCACTCATTTTTACCAGCAGATAGGGTGTTCGGAAGATTAGAGAAACGTCTTAGGACCTTTGAAGTTATCATGAATGACCAAGAATACAGAGAAATTTTTAGTGAATTTGGTACGGTTAAAATTCTTGGCCAAGATTGGTTTATTGAAGACTACAAGGCATTGGATAAAGACCTAAAAAAGTTAGTTGGAATAAAGGACATGAAACGGATCAATTTTAATAAGGACAATAAAGGTGTCGTGAAAGTTAAAATGGAACTAAACTTTAGGATTGATGATACGTCGAAACAATTTGAATCAATTGCAAAAAGAGGGAGACATTTAAAAGCAATTAAATTAAATAAAAAGGAATTAAAGAATAAAGTAAAAGAAGATAAGTTGAAAAATCTGAAAACATTGTTATTCCTGTACGATGAAAATTGGCAACATGATGAGCGGCTGGCTTTCTTTAAAGACTTTTTGGCAGAGTGCAATGTGGGTACAACAATACCTGAATCCGATTCGGATGATGGCTTCGATTGTGACTGCAACGAAGAGGATGGTGGAGTAGCCATATGACATACATTTCTGTGATTTTTGTAATACATTTTTGAATCAAACAATGATCATTATTCTTATTCCAAGTAGTTCTACTTAGTTAGATTCAAATGGGATAATATCCCATTATATTTTGTTCAAATAGGTTTTTATCCACATGCTTGCACCAAAAAGATCATTATTCAATTGTTTTTAACAATAACAGCTCTAAGCTAAAATTAGTATTTCCATTGTAAATAGTTTTTTACTTAACTGATCATAACATTTGAGTTTGTGAAGAGAAAATCCAGCGCTCGCATTTTTTTTAGAGTTGGCAGAAATCTTCGGTTTTCTCTTAATATACAAAAATGGATATTATTCCTTTTGAATTTTTGCTCCTCATATCTGCACTACATTTTAAGATATTCGTAAAAAAGTTTAGAAACATTCCAAAATAACCCCGATCTACGGTACTGCTTTGTTTGAGAGATACAGGGCCTTACAACACGAAAATAGAAATCAGTTTTTCTTAAATAATCTTGGAGCAGCATAGTAAATAGTGGTACATGGAACATAATGGTGTCCATGAAAAACAACTCATTTAGTTCACCAGGAAAAACTAACCGTAATGTAATATCTATTTTGTCTACCATGTGAATAGATCATAGTCACCCTTGAACTTTTGTTCAATGTTTTGGATACACCCTGTAATTAAGATATAAAAGCCAAGTCTGTTAATATCGCAGGAAACATATTAATTGTGGTTGAGCGCTGCATTTAAAGAAGAGAACAGAATGAGGACTTCCTGTGTCCACTGTCTCATTGATTCTTTGTGATTCGTTTTGGGCCTCTGTTTGCTGGTCCTTTTGGCTTTGCGAATTTCGGCCTGTGCAAGTTGGTGATTGGGTGCACTTCGTCATATAAGTTCTTTTCTGTCAATTCATCGCCACTGTCGATTTCTAGCTACAGAAACAATTGATAATAAGTTAGTTATTTCAAATTAGTAAATAGCAGAATTGGGGCTGACGCGCATCGACAAATGTGATCGTATGAAACTTGAAGAAAGCATCAAAATGATATAACAAAATTTCAAGCTATTGCGCTAAACAGTTGAGATTTTTGTGTGGAAAGTTGAAAAAACTTTCTATACTCAATAGTCGACCCGCACGGTTAATATGGTACTAAAACAGTCCACAACACAATACGCTCTTACACTAGCAGATAGGTTGCACAGGCACGCTGAAAGATATCAAATTTATGAAATACCAAATTCTTGAAGGAAGGTGTGTCAAATGTGTAATTCCGCTATACTGCCGTACTTAGGTAAAGGTAGTAGTAAGTTCATTTTCTTTTATAAAATAGCAAAGTATATGATTTATCACATTTAACAAAAATAGTTTCAGTTTCATTGAGTCAAAAATCCCATATTACATTTCCTACGCATAAACGGAGTAAATGAATTTATCAAAGTAAAAAAGCAGTAGTTTTCAAACCATACTGCTTTTATTCTGGGTATGATACAAATACTGCCTTTTTACCCTTTATAACCTATTATGATGTTTACTTATTTGGTTTGTTATGTAATAATTCTATTATTTGTGAATATTTATCGTTATAAACAATGTTTGCTCCAGAATAATAATTTGATAAATATTGTTCTTACTTAACACTCGCTGTTTTTAGTTTATTTATATAACTATTTTTTTTGAATGTAATGATACAGGGTGTGAACGTTATGATAATCATTATTTAAATGGGTGATAGAGGGGGTTAAAAGAAGCAAAAAGTTTCATATAACATGGGGATGAAAACGGTATTTTTTTAGAGAAAAGCGACTTTAAAGTAAAATAAAATCTGACAACGACGCAAATTACGACGGAACGCACTGTAAATAAAGATGGAGTTTGTTATTTTTGGCTCTTAGGTATTATTTCATTATTTGATAATGTACTCGTAAAATGCAAACAATTAAAAAAACGGACTTATCACTAACTGTCTCAGCGCTTCACCTGGTGTGTGAAAGTTTATTGAACGTATTAAAAAAATCCACTTATAAACAGGGAACACAATTTTGAGACATACATTGTTTTTCTTTTTAAAACCCACACTGCACTTTTTTTTTTAAGAAGGTGTTCAAAATGTCGTCCTCCACTTTCCACACAAGCTTCATTACGACGAACCCAGTTTCTTCTTTATCTAGGTCCTCGAAGTTGTCCATTTATTATTTCAGCCGAATTAAATTTTTTTTCGCGAAGTTGTGCTTCAGTTGTTATTTTACCAGCCCCATAAACCATGGCTTTAAGTTCTTCCAAATACCAGAAATCCATTGGATTGAGGTCAGGAGATCTTGCTGGCCATTTTTGAGGATCAGGAGCATTTCGACCGATCCAGCGATTTGGATAATGTTCATTCAAATACTGAATGACGCCTCTAAAAATGTGTGGTGGTTTCCCGTCATGAAGAAACCACAAACTCTGTCTCCGTTGTAATGGCATGTAGTCTAAGGTCTGTTCCAAAAGTTCTGGTAGCTAGAAAGCTAAGGTATCCTGCCCTCCTAAGCCAAACCCCCGTATTTGAAAAAAAATCGAAAACGAGATTTTTGGCTCTACTGTACTAAAATGTCGTGAATTTTCATTTTTTCTATGTTAAAAAACCGTATCTGAAGCGGAAATGTATGAAATCAAGTAATGCTAAGCCCGTATTCGCAAAAAAATTAAAAAATACTAATGCCGAACCCCGTATTTGTGGTTTACTAAGAGCTTTCCTCGTATTTTTAACTGGATACGGGGTTTTTGTCTAGGAACTTCCAAATACGTGGTTTAAGCCTAGCAAGTCGACCTGTCGCCACCTGTCGTACGCAACGCGTGCAGGCGCAGGCGGTTTGATTAATATCAGTTTCCTGGTAACCTCCAAGTGGCACGTGGCGTGGCTTTACCCTAGGATCTCAATTTCGACCACAACGATTTTATAAAATCTAGAACAGTGTGCTCATGGAGTAGCGGAAGCAGAGAAAAAAAGTTAGTTTCCCTGGCTACTATTTCTAAAGTTAATACAGTGAATTCAGAGGAAGAGCCTTGCTTAAGCGCTCAGAATTATTATTGTGATGAAGATGTACTACAGGATGTACAGATGGAAGAATTCATACCAATTACCAAGAGTTGCGTAATTGATAATGGATCGATGACTATTCGATACATGGATTCAGCTGATACTGTTGGTGAGTAAAACTAAAATTTGGCTACGCTAGTGCATATTTTAATTCCACTGACCGAATAGAAATCCTTCCATAATTGAAAATAACTACCATGCATAGATGTAATCTGTACTTTTACCTTGTTACTGGGCAATTGCCTTTTCAAAATCGGCAAAACCATATGTTTTGATCTGATGTTATAGTAATTGTTATACTTTGGTGATAGAACGAATCCACCGACATAAAGATAGGACCTGATTCAAAATAGCTCATTTTCAGATCCAGAACATCATTCCACAAATAAAGGATACTGCTTGCAAGATATATCTAACAATGTGATTGACAAGGAATCTTGGAATCTCAGAGATATTTTAAGTTACGGTGAGCACAGCATACTAGTTATTAAAAATACCAGCAACTACTGTTCGATAGACCGTCCTTTTGAGAGTGATAGCTTTTTTTCTACTTTTTAGTGGATGGTCAGGCAAATGTGGAAGTGGAAGAAAAAAATATTCAAAATATGGAAGACGATAGTCGTGGGGATGAGAATAGAAGGGAACCTATGAAAAATGATGCAAATCAAATAATAGAAGAAACAGAGATTGTAGAAGAGGAGAATGAAACTAAAGGGTATGAGGAAGCAGGTAAGCGTGTACTATCTACTACTACAGCAAGCATTATTGCACCTGTAAGGTATAATTTCAGATCCATATGAAACAGTTGAAGGCCACACAAACAAAGGCGAAGAAAGAAAAAGAAAAAAATACAAACTGTCCAAGGAAGTGAGAGCTGAAACTAAGAAAAACAAGGTAATCTCGCTTCATAAGGTCAGAGAAGGCTGTATAAACTGAAAGCTCAAATGTCGGACATTCTTTACCGAGGAGGAGAGAAACACCACAAACCACGAATTTTGGAAGTTGGACTGGAAGGGAAAACGAACATTTGTGATGAACTCGACAGAGAATAGAACACCAAAGAGAAAAGTAGAAGGTTCAAAGAAAAACAAGACATTCACATATTTTCTGAAGGATTCTAGTGGTACAACAAGACGTGTCTGTAAAATATTTTTCCTAACAACATTGGGATATAAAAAAACGAATGACTGGATAATCCATTCGGTGTGGGCAAATGCTAATAGCAAAAATCAGTTACAAAATGATTTAGACCGCCGAGGTAGGCATCCTCCTCCAAACAAGTTGTCTAATAAGATTATAGAAAGCCATATTGACTCATTTAATCCATCTGTATCTCACTATAGAAGAGTCCATGCTCCTAATCGTCTATATTTGCCGAGTGACTTGAATGTCACCCTTATGTTTGAAGACTTTAAAAAAAGATATCCCGATTACATTTGCTCCTATGAAAAATATAGAAAAATCCTCAAGGCGAAAAATATATCGTTCGCAAAATTAGGAAATGAGGAATGTGAACTCTGTGAGTCGTACCATATGCATAATTCCGAACATAAAGCTGAGTCCTTAAGTGATGATTGCGAGGTATGCTGCAGCTGGAAGGATCACATTATGAAAGCAAAAGAATCTCGTGAGTGATACTCACTAAATAAGGAAAACTGCAACAAAGACAAAGGAAATTTGTGCTTTTCTGTTGATCTTCAAAAAGTAATAATGTTGCCTAGACTTGAAATGTTTAAAAAAGCGATCTTTGCTTCTCGCCTAATAGTTTACAATGAAAGTTTTGTGCCAGTTGGTAAAATTAGAGATTTTCCTCCATTTGCCGTATTGTGGCATGAAGGCATCAGCGGACGACACCAAGAAGATATTATTAGTGCCTTCAACGCATTTCTTCTTCACCACAGGGATGTCCGCAATATCACTCTATGGTTGGACAATTGTTCTAGCCAGAATAAAAACTGGGCATTATTCTTCTTTCTTGTTTATATTGTGAACTCAACAAGTATATCCGCTGAGACCATTCACTTGAACTATTTTGAACCAGGTCATACCTTTATGTCGGCGGATTCGTTCCACCACCAAGTAGAAGAATCACTAAAGCGTCAAGTCAAAACATATGATTTTGCAGACTTTGAGAAGGCAGTACAGTCCAGCAATAAGGGAAAGGTACAAATCAAATCCATGAAACTGAATGATTTTCAATTGTGGAAAAGTCTCCATTCAGTTAGTAAAATTAAGAAACAGGATCCCAGTTTTACTATGAGTAAAATAACGGAATTAATGGTAAAGAGGACTGAATTTGTGATGTACTACAAACGCAATTTTGAGGAAGAATGGAAGAAACTAGATTTTTTGCTAAAAAAACATATTGGTGAAATGCCAACAGCCCCAATAAAAACGGCACCAAATGGGTTTGAGCGTCAAAAAGTTGAAAACCTGCTTAAAGCGGTTGGTTCCATTATGCCAGGTAACAGGAAAGAATTTTGGGAGAAACTTCCAGAAAAAGTTATCTAGTAAGTGTTCTTTTATTATACTTAATGTGTTCACCATAAAATAAAGTAATTAAAAGCTGGTGTGTTACTAAATTCATTTTCATCTACCAAGTACCTCAATTCCCAACGACTGATATCAAAAATACGATTATTATGACAAATATAAATTTGATAATGTCCTAGAACAAATGCCCGTATTCGCCAAATACGGGGTTATTGCATAGGAAATTGGTGTAACAGAACTAAAAAAAATCCTCGTATGGCAATTTATACTTGTAAAAACAATCAAACAAGGTTGTTTATGTAGACCACATAATTTTAGAGCCCTTATTACTCAATATGGACATCAATTATTAATACCATGGACGTCCGTTAAAGCTACAAACAAAAAGAAACTTCAAATTGATATTGCGCCACTTTCCAATATTTCCGAATACGGGGGTTTAGCTTATGAGGGCAGTATCCTTCTCCTGACAACTTTGGGGGTAACTCGAAAGGGCCAATTACCTGATCGTCAAGAATACCCGCCCAAAATTTATTTTAAAACGTTGTTGAAAATGACCTTCACGAATGGTATGAGGATTTTCTTGGGCCCACGTGTGAGTACTATGGAAATTTAATATCCCGTCTCTCGTAAAAGTACATTCGTCCGTCGCTAGAATGTTTTTTAAAAAAATCCGGATTTTTCAATGTTTTTGTGCAAAAACCATTGTCAGAATGTTAGTCTCCGAGGATAGTCTTCTGGTAACAAGGCCTGCACTCGTTGTACATGGTAGGGATAAAACAAATTTTCCTGTAGGATTCTATGTACTATGGTATGCGATAGTCCTACGCGGCGGCCTAATTCCCGAGTGCCGATATCTGCATTGATTTCCACGATATTTAAAATTTGTTCCTCCTGCTCTACAGTAACCTGTCTTTCACGAGTGCGAATATTAGTGGGAAGAATACTTCCTGTATCTCGAAGTCTTTGGTACACTTGCACAAATGTCCTGTCTGGGTGTACCCGTTTTGGCGAAATCTGTCGCGATAAATTTGAGCTGCAAGATTTGAATTCTGACGAGCTTCACCGTAAACTAACAACATGTCGGCGAACTCTTGATTCGAGAACATTGTAAATCAACACGACGACGTACGCGAACAAAAACAAAACAACATACTAACCACTGTTACCGTTTGCAATCGATTGCCGGTTCGATAAGAGTGATGATGACCGACGCGCTGTTGTCATGTGTATTTTAAATATTCAATCCAATGAAACTTACTTACTGACTACAAATTTTGGCGTAACTTAGAAAAACTTGATGCCATTTATTTGTTAATTACCCAATTTAAAAACGTTTTAGATTAGATTATAAAAATTAGTAAGATTGTGGTGATTGCGGTCGATATAAAGCACTTAAAGTTGTAAACTATAAAGCCATTTAGACAAAAATCTATTGACTTTTGGACCATGGGTCATATGAACTTTTTGACTTGTTTTGACCCCCCCTATTTCCCATTTCAATAAGGACTACTATAACGTTTACACCCTGTATAATTATTAAATTGAATTATTAGATGGTGAGAAGATTCATTTTTGTGCTATTAATCAATATGAATAAATTATATTAAAATAAGATAAAATTCTAAAACACTGCGTTTTTTTCTGAGAGAATAATATAAAAAGCAAAGTATTGAAACTGATCAATGTGGTCGATGTCGCTCAAACTAGCGAAAAATTATTCGATTTGTGAAAGAGGGATCCAAATTCCTGTATTAAAACAGAAATGCTTCAAAAACCTATTTTTTCATTTGTGCTCGATCACAAAAGATGCAAATTCCATAAATCAAAAACGATTTGTGGCCTACTTGAAACCTGATACAACAAATTGACATGACGCCATTACTAAGCATTTCATTGAATATTGCTGTGCAAACTTCTGCTTGACAAATTCTTTGAAAACATAAATAAAATTACAGAATTCTTATTCTTTAACGAGCATTGAGTAAATATTAAATACACTGACTTACTTTAACCGAAACATGTCGGGCACTGTACTACTGGACGGTAGAGCTATGCTGACATCCGTATGCATACCTAAGTATGGCAGTACAGTGATTTTTAAAACTGGTGAAAAGTTGCAGATATGTGTAGTAATTTAAGCTTGACAAAGTGGGGTCTTTGTACTTATTAATATGGGAAAACACTTCTAGTGAAAAATAAGCAGGCAAGCAAAGCAAGTTAAAACCCTCTGCTCCTACGCTAGTTGTATTTACGAAAAAATATTTAATCGACTGCGGAGATGATAATTCCTAAATAGCAACCCATAACTAGCGTTTATAGCTACCATATTATGATCAGGGATTATAATTATCCTCGTTAACAGCTAATGCCGCCTCAACACGTTGTACAATATGCACCAAAGCTATTGGCGAATAAAGCTGACTAGGATAGTAATATGTACACAAAAACTACTGTCTATTTACCTTTTTGGCAATTTCAAGTCCTAAGATAGTAATGGTATCTGTTAATGGATTCTTACAACTAGAGTACAGCATCCTCTCCTTAATCGGGCAAGAGTAACCAGGCATAGAATAAATAAATACTGAAAATGTAAAAGAATCAGTGGTTTATGACTATTCCAGAGTTTTATCACTCGCCAAACCGGAGTTTTAATCCTCACCTGAACATGCCAACATAGCGAAAACGTGTCGGATATTAAAACACCGGTTTGGTGAGCGATAAAACCCTGTGGTAGTCATGGTAGCTACTCCAAAAAATCGATCATCGCCTGGAATTAGTGGTTTGTTAGAGAAGGGTAAGCGTCGCTTCACACGTGTCGGGAAATTGCAACCGGCTGTCGGTCGATACTGGGCAATGTCTGGGTGGTGGTAGATTGTTATGCACCTGTTGCATTCACAAATGCAATTTTTACATACATGTTTGTTTATTTTAAACTACAAAAAATGTGCTCTGTATAAAAAATAACACATCTACAAAGTTTCATGGTAATCGGATGAGGTATTTAGTAACTTATGTACCAAAATTGCCGGACATAATAGGGGATCTAAGAAGCAACATATTTTACTCTAACCAATTTTTCACATTTTCTAACAATCGCCCAAAAATGGAAATCTAGGAACAAATAATGAAGACAAAAATAGGAAAGAAATGCCTGATAATCAAGTCAATTGTCATGACTTGTACTTAAAACAAGATAACACAATCATAAAAAGTATAAACATAACCATACACAATAAAAACTATTCTAAAATAGACAAATGAGTTGTGCTAAATACGTGGGAATTCATTAACTTTCGTGGTTTGTATTTAAATTAAGCTGTACTACTGAAGTTTCGGCCACCACAATGGCCTTTTTACAAATGATAATCACTATATATTTTATGTTAGGTTGATACAATAATAAAGTGTGTCGAAATAGCATATACTATAAAAACAGCGATTCCCAAAGGTAACTGCTTTCATTTTCAATTTTCCGGAAACAAAATTGTGACTAGCTACTAAATTGCAAGCACAATGAACGTACAAATTATTTAGTTCCTACAGTAAGCTTTCCAAAAAGGAATAAAAAACTCTAAATGAAGGTATTTAATTATTCAAAATATTCAGTCAGACCGATGTAGTTGATAATGATCATTCAAATAAATAATAATTTTACTATTTCGATTTCTCATTTCTGCAACAAAAGATAATTCGCTGACGTTACTTGACAGCAGTTTGGAAAATAAATGTCCAAGGCTGTACTGGCGGCTACCGATTGCATTTGCCGGCACGTGTAGAGGCAGGCAGAGCCTCAACCAGTACCGGACGCGTGTGCGTGACACTAATTCTCAATGGTTTTTGGCATTGCTTTTTTTGTTCTATGACCAATAACTATTTGTGTTTATTTTTATAACGTAGTATCTAGTAAAAAAACGAATGTGCAAAAAAGATCACGTTAAGTAGTAGCAAGGTTTTTGAGGCTGAGGTTTTTGTGGACTTGAGGCCAATTAGTATTTTGTTTACGTACATTGTGGAAGATATTGAAAAAAATTGCTTTCCTGCATTTAATCCAATATTTTGAAATGTTCAATATATTTCCAAATCATCAGTCTGGTTTCCGTAGTGGTCACAGCACTACATTGGCTTTACTTCACATAACTGATGAGAGTATTTGTAATTTGGACAAGCATATTTATACTATACTAATGTTGTGGAATTCTTCTTAAGTATTTGATACAGTTAGCCATGACCTTCTATCCAAACTAAAATACTACGAACTTTCTGATGTTCCTTTATGTTTTTTATCGTATTTCGATAGTGGCAAACAACGAGTAACAAGCCAAGGAGGTTCTGCTAGTGCTGATGGTTCTATACTCTTGACATGCATACTGTTTTAGAATGCTGTTGTATACAGACTTACGCGAACGACACAACTGACTTTCACTTTTGACTCTACTAACCTTGATCAAATATCATATAAAATTTAGACCTGGTGAACTAAGTCACTACTGCAAGGTTAACTGAAGCTTAATCCTACTAAGAGTTTTGAAATTTTATTTTGTCCTAAAACAAACTATGAACATTGAAAGAATGACTGGTTTGAGGGTGCGTTCCGAATCTATTTACTATTCCACACGTCACACAAGCAAAAAGTTTTGGTGTCACTTCATTTTCCAATCATTCCATCCTCATCGATTTCAAGACTCGAAAGAAATTGATATAGAGTTTGGTAATGATTAAATTGCTTTACTGCTTTATGCTATTTCATCCTTGTCTTGAGTCCCTTATTAAAACCAGATTGCAGAAAATTAAAATCTGTTGTCGTTTTGTTTTCGATTTTCACAGCTACAGCCATGTTACATCCAAGATTTTTGAGTTGAGGTGGCTGAAGCTTAAAAATCTTTTTGTTAGTTTTTATATATAAAATTATCATCAAGAGACCTATGTACCTATCAAGTAAGTTGGTTCCTAGTAGAAATCTAATTACAAGAAGGATAAGTAACAATGACCAGTTCGATATTCCTCTTCACTATAATATTTGTATCAAAGATCTTTTACGTAAAGTGCCGTACACTTAGAATGTCTAACAAAAAAAAAGATTATATTCCTTAAAAAAATCGTTTAGAAAGCAGCTGTTAGAGATGCAAACGTTTCTCTATTTTTGAGTTATTGTTTTATTATTCTTATTGATTTTTATTTCTAACGTTCTCTCCAGTATTTTCTTCCTGGCTTGCTGTAATTGTAAATAGTATAGTGTTATAATTGTTCTGTAATTGTTTTATGTTGTATTATTATTACAAAATTGAAATGAGCAGAGTGCAATACTATAAGCTCATGTACAAAAGGCAAACGTAGTCTACGGATAAGTAGCATGAAATACATAAAATAAAAACTTCATACCTATCAAGTTTGATTACTGTTCCATCTATCCTAATGCACTTTGAAGCTATTGACGTAGCATTAACCACATGTGTAAACTTTTGTATGTTTCGTTCATATTATGGTTAAGTGGAAAAGTGGTCGTCAAGCTAATCTTTGCCATGATGTGGAAGGTTACCAATAAAGTCACTTTTTAGGTATAGGCAGCAAAACAGATAGGACAGTCTAAAAAATATGACACAAAATATACCGCAGAGAGGAGGCATTGTAATTGGCTGAATTTGCAATATGTTGTACAGGGTGGCCGATATGTAACTGACTGGTTTGTATCTTGAATATTTGTGAAATGAAATAAATTACGTCCATTTTTTTCATCTTAATCTTTTATCAAAACCTAGAAATTATGTATGAAAAATAATATCAGACAAATGTCCGCCTCTAGAAGCCGCGCAAATCTGAGCCCACTTGATTACATTTTCCATCACTTTTTGGTAGCTTTCGGGAGGAATACAGTATTTCGTTTGTTGGCATAAACCATATTTTTCAAAAATCCCATTAAAAAAAGTCAGGAGCGGTTAAATCCGGTGACCTTGGTGGCCAGTAGACATCATCAAATCGAGAAATTAAACGTCCGGAAATATTGTTCGTAAAAGATTCATTGTTTCCCTAGCTGTGTAACAAGTTGCTCCTTCCTGTTGGAACCACATGTTTTGTAGGATAAATTGTTGGATTTGAGGAGCCAGCAGCGTCTTCAAAGAAGTAAGGTACCAGACACCGCACCAAACTGTGACTCGACGAGGATATAGTGGTCGTTGATGGATGACACTAGAGTTCTCTAATGCCCAGATACGACAATTCTACTTATTAACAAATCCGTTCATTCGAAGTGGGCTTCATCGCTCATTATCATTTGTCGGTAAAAATCATTATTTTGGGCATTAAGCTGCAATAATGCATGACTGTATTTTCGGTGACTTTCATGGTCACTAGTCTGTAGTTCTTGGGTTAACTGAATTTTGTATGGCCGCAAATGCAAGTCTTTTTTAAAATAGTGCATAATGACGTGCGACGAATACCCAGTTCTTGAGAACGATGTCTGGTAGACGTCCCAAGGTGCTCCACTATACTTTCACGAACTCTCCCGAGTACGAACAGTTCGAACACGGCCCGACCTTGACAAGTCTTTAATCGTTGCAATAATCGACTCATTATTTAAGTAAAACGTTTTAATAATACTGACACGTTGTGGAATCGTGTAGCGCTCCATGATGAATTGGACACATGTGTACATGTTCTGTGTACACTATAACATATTTTGGCCCTCGCTAGACCTTCGTAGATATTTCCTAGATTAAATCTATACCAATTTCTCTATGTGGTGTGTACATAACATGGTAGATTTGATCTCGTAAAAACGTATAGGCATTATTGTACCGTAGTTTGTTGGAAGTAGTTTGAAATGTCGCGAATTAAGAAAATTGCAGCTGCCTCTGTTATTTTAATAACGAAGAATAGAAAAAATGTTGAGCTAAAAAACAAGAAGAGAAGGATGTGGGTTGTGAGCTGGATTTCAAGAAGACAGGATAGTGTTTTTTTGCTCAATTAGTGAAAAAATTACACAGCGAAGACATGAATTCATACGCTAACTTTTTACACATGAGTAATAAGGACTATGAATACTTGCTTCAAAAAGTTGAACCATTGATTAGAAAACAAGATACTCATCTTAGGCTAGCTATTTCACCTTCAGAACGGCTCATGCTTACTTTACGGTTTTTAGCAACAGGTGAGTATTGAAAGACATGAGTTTGTTTTTTAGGATGTATTTAACTTTTAAAGCAAACAAAAACAACTTCTAATTAAATCATTTCTAATTGTAGGAGATAGCTATCATTCCCTGGAATACCTTTTTCGGATTCCAGTCACGACCGTTTCAAGGATTATACCTGAAATTTGTGAAGCGATATTTACTGTGCTGAAAACGGATTATCTCTCGTAAAACTGCGTGATTGGAGGAAGGTTTGTAGTTGTATTTGTTATCGGTGCCTCTTCAAAACTTTCAACCGTATTTGAAGTTGATTGGTATGTACTCGAATGTGAATAAGTAGGCGACAGTAAAGGTGTAAGTGTTCTTGATCCAGAAAACTCCACTTCATCTTCCTCGCTCATTGCAACTATAGCTTTCTGGATTATTCGTTTTAATCTTCTTTTTCGTTCATCAGAACGCAGCTGCCGTAATTCACTAGCAACATATTCACCAAATACGGTATACTCGTCAGTTGGTGTATTTAGTATGTTTTTAGCATTGCATCACCTTCCTCGTCCGTTTTTTCCTTGGCTTTGGTTTTTAGTTTTTTCGAACGATGAGTTGTAGTATTTGATGTTGTTGGTTTTTCTATGCCTTGTAATTGAGACTCCTCCAGAAAATCTTCCTCTTGCGACGAAACCTGAAATAAAACAAAAGTAGCGAATAAGCTTATTTGTAGTTTTGTAATATTACTTTTTCTTTTAGATCCCAAACTCTCAGAAAGAATGGTATGAAGTTGCAAAGGGATTTGAGGAGATTTTGAATTTTCCAAACTGTTTAGGTGCTCTAGATGGCAAGCACGTGGTTATGAAAGCACCAAGGAATAAAGGCAGTCTTTATTTTAATTATAAAGGAACACATAGCATAGTCCTCATGGCACTAGTTGATGCAAAATACAAATTTCTTTATGTGGATGTCGGATGCAATGGACGCATATCTGATGGTGGCGTGTATGCAAACTGTTCATTGTCAAGAGCATTAGAAAACAACATGTTAAACATGCCAAAACCAAGGCCATTACCGGGTGAATCTGAAGATGCACCTTTTGTTGTTATTGCCGATGATGCTTTTGTCTTGACTTCCTATTTATTAAAACCTTTTCCTTTCAAAAACCAACCCGGATTTAATCGGGTTTTTAACTACAGAATATCAAGAGCAAGGCGTGTAGTTGAAAATGCTTTCGGACTGATCTCGGCTCGATTTCGTGTTCTTAGACGACCAATAGACCTACCTCCAGAGAAGGTTAAAAAAATTGTACTTGCAATATGTTCTTTGCATAATTTCTTACTGACCCAAAAAAGTTCGGCACATTTATATGCCCCAAATGGAATATTTGATACTGAAAATGATGGGAACGTTATCAATGGGAGTTGGAGAAATGGAGGAAATCCTATAGCTAATATGGTTCCTTTACAGACTACAAATGTTAGAAACCCATCGAAAACAGCCAAAGAAGTACGAGAACAATTTAAAAATTATTTTGTATCCAAACATGGTGAAGTCGCCATTTTATCTGCTTAATGTAATATATGCTTCTAATGCTGAAAAAATGTTTACTCACCGTATCCCTAAAGTTTGTAGTGCTTTTGGTGCTCCCAGAGTAACCCATCATGAACTGTAACGCATCATAAAATTCCCACTTACTTTTCCACAGTCTATCATCAGTTCCATCTCCACTTTTGGTTTTTTTAATTTTCCTTATCTCCGAATTCATTTGACACCTTAAATTATGCCATTTTCTTCCAACTTCGGCTTCAGTGGTTTTTAACTGATCTATATTTTTTATAGCTTGAGCCTTTTTATCCCGATCTCTGTACTCCTTCAATATGCAATTCCAAAGTTCTGGATGTGCCTCGTACATCTCAATTAGCTTGAGAGTACTTTCTTTGTCCCATTTCATAGCTTTTTGTTCATTTACACTTGTGGGGAAGCCATGCTTTCAACTAATCTATTTAACTCATCGAATAGAGCGAAACAATGCGAGAGTGATCTAGAGAACTAGTCTCAGTACTGTGTCCACTACAACCCTACCTAGACTAACGTCGCGCTACCGAGAGTATTACGCCACACTCGCTAGAGCAGTCTCAGTAATATGTACACTATAGACTTAGTCTAAAGCGACTCTAGCTAGCGCAAATCTCGGGGAAAAATCTATAGTGTACACGTACCATTATATAAGATTCCAATCGTTCTGCAGTCTGCAATGTGTTGCTATGTAGGCGAGCTATACTAAAAATACTGCCTGTTTAGCAGAGCGATGACGAAACTACGATTTATGTTTTTGTTTATTCCTCGTTTATGCCAGACTCCATGCCAGATGTTTGACAAGTATAGGCAATACGTCATCTTTGCACCAACATATAGCGGGGATTCCATGGCAAACACCATATTGTTGAACTTCGATAAATACTGCTCACTATCGAACCCTGGAGACATATAGTCATGAGGTTGTAACATACAACATACTATAAATTCAGCCAATTCCACTGTACCCCCTTTACCGTTTGTCGTCGCATTCCTTACAAATAGCACATTTGCTTTCATGAGCTCCTTGTCACACAATGTCAAAGGAAAGGCTAGATCATTTGTCAGTAATTTATTAATGTTACTTGACGACCATAATATACAAAGTGATGGGATTCTGCCTTTCACAATTAATTCCAAACACATCTGTTTAGTCCAACTGAAAAGTTTTTCGAATATATGTACCTCTCATATGAGACTTTTGGAGTTATAATACTAGTAATAGTAATATAAACTCTTATTTTAGACTATAAAATGGCTCATTTTCCATCAAACTTCACAGTCTAGTATCTGAAAAACGTTGCTACTTTAGCGGGATTTTTTTGGCACAATATTTATGCCTTTGATAAACGTAATGAGAGAAACAAAACCACTGCTGGTCGCTATATAAGAAATCAAAAATTGCTCACTGCCATGGGGTCAACTCACCTATATTTTCCATATAATCACCTTCATGTGTGTGTTTGAAATTAAACAAGTGGTACCTTCCACCGTCTGTAGGAACTTTTGACGGCAATTTTTCTAAAGCTATATTTTCAGCTGATACAAGATGAATTGTTTCCGACTCGATATCTGGAAATTATCAAATATATGAAATATGTGTACATGTTGCGGGCAATGTCGATAAATCGGGCCTTATTGGCCGGCCAAGTTGCAAAATGCTGATAAAAACATATTTGTACTTAAGCTTGTTTAAAGCCAAACCCCTATTCTGATGGAATGTGCCAATTATTTACCTATTTTTATTATATCAACAATGCCTATAATCTATCCAATGAAGGTAGAGAGTAATAAAGCAAGTGACATGGCAGCCTGATTTTACACCGCACGACTACCTGCAAAACCGATAATGCGTTGTCGCCAGTGGCGTGTAGGTTTTAAAATTAATTGAGGTACCATTTACTTTATTTTCACTGTTTCTTCTATCTTTTCATTACTTTCAAGGTGCTATAAGGTTTATTACATTGATATATTAAATATGCTGTCCCAGTTTACGATTTGTTAACTTTACATATTTTTTATATTACAAAAATGATTTTAAATGATGGGAAAAAAATAAAGCGGCTCAAAAATTAAATTCTTTTTTAGATTGGATTCTGGATCTTTTTAATATATCTAATAATGAATCTACCTGCATTCATTACAACGTTTATTTCGACGGCCCTATCCGGATAGACTTTAAAGTGGATTATTCCATGTGTAATCCTGACCGTTTATTTCGGAAATCCACAAGTCAAACCATAACTGATAACGTCCAAATCTTGGACAGTGGGCTCCTTCGAAGTTAGCGGTCAGGATTAACACAGGATTGAAGTCTATCCCGATAGAGCAGTAGACATAAACATGGTAATTATATGTATAAGTATGTTTAGGGATATAGGTCCTTCGTCATTATCCAGTAAATAAACAAATTACATTTATTAACTAATCGCTATCACTATCTGTATAATCTGAATATTCTGAATCGTTTCCTAAGTTAACAATCATGGTTCAACCACTCTTTCCATACATTGGTCAGTTGTCCACATTTTTTCTTCCTCCTCAACATGTACGATTGCTTTTTTCCAATTTTCCGGAGTTACATTTTGTACTTCGCTGTAAAAAAACTGCTTTTCATCTGCGACCTCAAAAGTTGTTTTTTCTGGAAACTTCGTTTTTAATTTGCGCCCAAATTAACATGATTGGGTTAAACTCGCAATGGTAAAGAGGCAGGCGTAAAATAGTCCGATTGGTGGATTTAGCCATTTCGTCGATGACATTCTTGTCAGCACTCGTCAGCGTTTATTGATAACAAAATTTTGTCCAATTTGGGTGGTTCGTTTCGGAAGAAAAATTCGTGGATTTTTCTTCGGAATAATGCCTTAATTTCTTGTGAATCGTTGTTCAAAACTACTCTGGCTCTATGGTAACCTTTGAGAGGAGCAGTTTTATATACACTGCTACTTGATGCTCCTAAAAACAAATTAATACATTTTTCATATATTATATATACAAGCATTGATAAATAATAAAAAATAATTGAGAATAAGTTTTAAAAATCAAAATGTGTCCAATAGAAGTAGCTATCATATTAGTGGGTAAGATATTCAACAGAAAATAACTATTCTTAAGAATAATACATCAAACTACAAAACATTTTAAATTATACTTCAAAGCTAAATCCTCACCTGATGCTCTTGAAACAAGGCTACACGTTCTGTCTGAGTTTCATTTGGAAAGCGCTCCATAGAAGCTGCTATATAAATATTTATAATAGTTTCTTTTTCAGAAACCGACAAAGCTCTTTTTGTCCGTTTTCTTGGTAATTGGCCGTCGTCTAAGAAAGCACTCATGTCGAAATATCCTTTTAAAAGTTGTCTCACAAAAATAAATGAAGCACACAAAAAAAAATCAACCGCACGTCACAGACCTTCGGAAAGAATTAAAGTGCTATTGTGAACTTGGCGGCTTATCTACCGAAAACGGACCAATAGGAACGAGGCGCGTGCCGGTCAGATGACTTATTACCCCGTAGGTTCATTGGATAAATTATAGTACTTTTTGGTCATTATTGATAATGGCCGAGAACAAAGATGCCGATACGTTAACACTGACTACTACTACTAACTATTGACAATCAGAATCTCAGATGACATAAATGACATTCAAATAGTCTACATTGCTCTGAGCGATGCCATTATCTACATTCGAAAATAGTTTTTAGTTACGATTGACTGCTTGACATAATTTAATTATTGTGAATGGAGAGCTGAACGAGCCATAGTGTCGTCATATTCATTATACGACAATCATGTCGACAGCAACCGCCCTAACACCTGTCATCATGTGATGAAATATAGTGTAGTGTAGATGTTCTGATATGAATATATTTCTAACCTATTTTTAATTGTATATAGTTATAAGTTCCATCCTTCATATCACTGATAGCTTGCTTAGCAACATCAACAAGTGGAAACACAACACCTCCCAAAGTTTGTTGTTTAGTATCAATATTGATTTCTGTGTTCATCTCATTTTTTCTCAATTCTTGTAATTCTTCTTCCCGCATAGACAGAGGTGCTGGCTCTGAGCTCATTTTCTTATGCTTCAAGTATCCATTTAATGTTACTTCAGACTGAAAAACATATACATGTCATTAATGCCTATGCAATAATTTCGAATTCTGATACTTAAGCTAGTTTAACAACAAAGGACAGATGTTACGCGCTATTTGGCAACTCCGCAGAATGGTGTAGGCTTGATCTCAGGAAGAACAATGAACGAAAGCTGAGCAAATATCATATATCCAGAGTACAAGGTTTATCGAAATAAGACATCACATAGTACCATCTGTTATCAGAATCAGCAAGCTGTCTGAATAATTTATGTCCTTGTTGTTACTTTCGACCTTGGTTAGGTAGAATTTTCGACCTACCTATGCGGGAACCGCTCGGGAGGTTATCAGATTATTTTTGCCAGCACAGACGTAGGTCGTTCTGGTGATCTTGCGCTATGGCAACATGATGGATAGGCGTGTTCGGAGAATAGTGGGCAAGGCTATCGATTTAATAGAGCATTTGGTTCTTACACCGCCATCATGTGGATTAGTTTTCCAGATGTGTTAATAAACAACGTTAATCATACAGCGTATTTAGGACGGAGTTTGGCATCCCGGTAATCCCTGCCAGAGAAACAGGCAAAAAAAGAAAGCTGTAGCACTGTCTACACAACAGATTGAAGGGGCCATTACGAAAAAAGGCAGAATCTGATTGTATATGATCTCAAGGATAATCAGAGGCATTGAAGTACAAATTTGCAAGGTTAAACAATATGGTTAATGGAAGCCAGATTACAAGAAAGGACATCAAGCAGATAAATGTGGATCTCCAACTCATTGGTGCCCGCTTGAGGACTCCAGGACTCCCTTAAGATCTAGTCCAAATCGGTAAAGTCGAAGACCTGAAATTTCCACTTTTGACTTTGTCGTGCAGACCGCTCAGGAACAGCACATCCAAGATACGGGGTTGACTAAGGGGCAGCGAACGGCTGGAACATACCCCAAAGAAATTCAGAAAATAGCCTCCTTAAAAGACGTCAGTGGCACTAAACTGAAGAAGTTAAATGAAGTACTGCAGTTCTTGCAACTAGACAAATAGAACTAGATGAAGCAGGAGGGGTACCAGTTTAAGTACATTAAGACAAATAGCAGCGTAGCCCTAGACGTAGAAACTGACAATCTCAATGTAGTTAGTAAAAAAATTGAAAATGTTATCAAAATCCACGAAGACAGTGAACCAGGACAGCTCTACGAGATGCTACAGCGAGCTTTTAAGCTACCAAAGAGACACAACGTTTCTGAACTAGTAATCAACCCGATGGGGTTTAATAATCTCAGGTCTTTGCGAAGACATAGTACCTTGGTGGACGTGGACGCCATAGATTATGGCAGGTCAAGGACTCAATATTTATTAAAGCTGACAAAAGCGAGTACTTGTATACAAATATTGAGGCAGCAGATAAATATTCAGGAAATGTGTGGAGATGTAAAGCAAAAAAGAAGCGTGAAATCGAGCTTGAAATAGTTGAAATGCCTCTGGCGTAAGTCAAAAGCATTTTACGGTAAGGAAATGTTGGCAAAGCACCCGAGAAGACAATAGCTGTGATAATATGGGATATTGAAAAACAAGAAACAAAGGTCTGTTAGACAGTAAAAGGTGCTTGGCAGCAAAAAAATGTTGCAGGCTTCGAGGTCTTTGAGCCCAAGGCACTTAAAAATGGAAAAGGCTCTAGATTCCTGAAAGGCGCGCACTCTTGGACCAACGGTGAATCAAAATTGGTTGAAGCAGATGTATGATAACCGAAAAGGACTTTCCAACCAGATGTTATAACTACCCACTATTATTAATGCACTTCAAAAACAAAGCCAAAGCAGAAGTGCCTCCAATGCGGTGACGATAAGCAGGTAGTGAAGAACTGCACTTAAGAAATAAGGTGCTACGTGTTCGGAGAAAACGCAGATCGCGCAGACAATATGGCCTGTACTAAATATATAGGGAGGTGGTCGAGCAAGCTGGCCTAACCAATAGTCAACGGAAAACCAGCGTTAAATCCGACAAAAATGACGAAGATGGTTTCCAGGTTGTAACAAGCAGGAGAGACGGGTGATCGAAAAGAATTCACAGTTTTTGATTACCATCGGTGTGCAGCTAAATCTAAATAGATTTAGAGCCGCCTACGATTTGCTTCAATGGAATGGAAAACTTAGTAGACTAACGCAACGATCAAGAGCGTACAATCGAAAAGCTTGGTTTGCGAATGAGAAAACTTAACCTAAGCTCAGTATACATTTTACCAAATATATCACTTGACCTTTACCAGGAAACGCTGAATGAACTAGATAGACCTGTTATAGATTGAAGCATTGGGCATTTCCATATAGGCGGAGATCTCAATTCCTAGTCGACCACGTGAGCATCTCCATGCACAGATAGAAGAGATTAGATTAGATTAGATTATTGAAAAATCTTTTGCAGCAAAAGGCTTGGTTACTGAAAATATAGACGACAAACACACTTTTGTTAGAGGAGGCCAGACAACGCATCTCGATATAACTATACATAGTGAGAATTTGATAGGCAAGATAAAAAATGAACAGCGCTAGATGATGAAAATATGAGCGACCATAGATACATTGTTTTTGACGTAACAATCTCCGAAATTAAATTAGATAATCAACACATAAGATACGAAGGTGAAAAATAAATGAAACCAATCAGTTCCTGCCAACATACAACTGGCACTTTGTAACTTTAAGCTGGACGACTAAAAGGACAAAGTTCAACAACTAGAAGAGGTTGTTATAACAGTGTACGATAACACATTTGGTGTGAATGACAAGAACAGTAAAGTGAGATTAGCGAAAAACTGGTGGAATGCAGCAATAGAGAAAAAAAAATGGAGTCAAGTAAGTTGTCTGTAGACATTCTTTCCCTGTCATACCGGTAGGGCATCTGGGAACGTCGCCCCTCCCCAATACTTAACTGCGTCACTCGTTGTTGCGCGGTCAACGCATATTGTCTTTTTCACAAGATCCATTACGGTAGAATAACAGCTGATGTTCTAGTAATATTTGAAAATTTTCCATATCAACACATGACACATAATCCTGACGGATCCGTCAACGCCAGGTAGACAAAGTCGTATTTTGTTTTGGTTTTTTGCAAGCTACAGATTCATTTTGTACTTCCTAGTAACTTTTGTATTTAGAAAAGTTTATTTGCATACGAAAAAACGATTCAAGCAAGGTTTACTAGATTCACACCCGGTTTATTATTGCCAACGTTAGAGACTAATACAAATATTTCACCAGCTGATCAGCTGTTCATCTCAGTAGACGTCAAAACGTGATGGATACTCGTGAACTATGCGGTGACGCGTCCAAAATATATGTGTAATACCATACCAGAACAGCAGAACTCTTACCATGGACAGCAACATGCCGTCGATAGCAGCAGCCGTGAAGGCATGCGAGCCGTCAGCTGAGAATATTTCTCTAAGTTTTAAGGACTAATGTACAGAGAAATGTATCATGAGTGAAATATGTCTCATAGGTGCATAGAATTGCTAAGGTTCAAGGTTGGAAGCATATAAATGTAACATCAAAAAACTGAGATAAACTCAGCCCCGTCTATGAGACACTAACATTTTCAAAGTAGCCTTATTATTAATGCAGAAAAAACATAGCATTTCATCTTGGATAATTTTTTGGCTGCAGAAATACTGTTGACAATCTTGCCATACATTTTTTTGAGAATGTCTTCATAATAATATAAATCTTTATTTCAAAACAACAGAGCATCATTACTGTGTATTATACACTGTTACGTGAAATATACATCCAGCGTCAACTACACAGAAAAAAACAAGTGAAACAAGACAAAAACATAATAATATAACATATACAGATTTTACATTTCAAAATATTCTTGAGTTATGGTTCTAAGTGCATTAACAATGGATGTATACTCTTTTTATATTATATATGACAACCTTTTAATTTTTTGTGGTAACTTATTATATAAGTCCCCAAGTTCTGATGCTGATTTATTCATTTACAACTTTGATAACATATTGCAAAGGCATTTGAAGAGCAATCGGATGGTTGTTTGTGGGGACCGCAACATGAACTTTGACCCACTGAATATGCTTTCATCAGCCAAGGAAACTTGTTACAATTCTGAAATCGTTCAATATGGACCAACACGTGTGGGATCACACTAGAATTACCAATAACTGCAGATCTCGATCATCGACAATATTTTCTCTATACCCTCCACCTTCTCCAAAATAGTTAACTCTAGCTTATCAGACCATAATATGCAGATTATAAGTTATGATATAGAAAGTAGCCCTCAAACACAAACTGGTTATCACTGCAAACGCCATTTCAATAAACCTCAAGATATTGAAATGTTCAAAATGCTTTTTTAAGAAACAGACTGGTATTTTTTGTCTGATGAAGGGCTTGATTTTGATTCAAAGTTTAATATATTCCATGATATATTCCACAAATCTTTGATAGATGATTTCCTGTAATGTTAGTCAAAAGTAAGCATGAAACTCCTCAAAATTGTAAGAATAGCTGGATAACCAAAGTAATGATTGACGAAAGTAAGTTTTTAAGAGAGCTAAATTTTGATACAAAAATAAATAATGATACCGAGTTGACTGCACGCTGTAAACTACTGATTAAAGAACATAAAATTATTGGAAACAAAACGAGACTAGTATGATAATAAAATTGTTAAGTCTAGTAATAAGAGTAAGACTGCTTGGCAAATCATCAGTGCACATTCAAAACATACAAAAAGACAAGTTTCTGAGATTATTTCTGATAGCGATGGAAATATTTTCTCTACATCATCCAAGGAAGCTGCTGTGGCATTTACTAATTTCTTTATAAATTCTGTATCGGAACTGACTAAATCTATCACTTTCAGCGGGCAGCATGTACCAACTCCCATCAACCCTACTTCCATGTTTTTAAGCCCAGTCACTGAAGATGAAGCTGTTGAGCTGTTAAAACATGTCGCAAAAAAGAAATCAGCAGGCTTTGATGAAGTACCTCGCTCATTC